TTTGGACTATACTGAGAATACAACTGCTTAATGTATTATAATTATCCCCAACATTTGTAAAGGAATTCTTTTTAGTCTTAAGGGCTTTTTTGAAATATTAAAATTAAAAACAAACAATAAACTTCATCACAGGAATATCTGGCTGCCTTAATTAAGTTACTTCATGAAACAGGAAATGCAAAGACTGAAGTAAGTAGATTAGCATTTTAAAACTATGGGCTCTGGACTTAGACAGCTGGGTAAACTTTAACATTTATCAAATGTGTGACCTTATGTAAATTATTCATTCTCCCTGTGCCTCAGTTTCATCGTATGCAAAATGAAGATAATAACAGCATCTACCTTGCGGGGTTTTAAAAGGGCTATATAGGAGGATATATGTAAAATGCTCATAAGAGTTGGGGACACGGTGGGTTAAGCGTCTGACTTTGGCTCAGGTCATGATCTCACGATTCATGAGTTCGAGCCCTGCATCGGGCTCTCTGCTGTCAGCAAGGAGCCCTCTTCAGATCCTCTGTCTCTCCTCCTCCCCCTCTCCCTCCTCCACTTGTACTCGCTATCTCTCTCAAAATAAATAAATACACTAAAAAAAAAAAGAGTAGGGGACACATAGTAAATGTTTGATAAACTTTAGCTCCTACTAATACTATTAGCCCCCAATTTACTCACTGATCATACCTCTCATTCTATGTTTTTTATAAAATTTAAGGGAAAAATGCTATTCTACAGGATTTGTAATTCCCATTTCACACACTTATTGCACATCAGTAATATATCAGGTACTATGTTAGACATAAAGCACTGCAAACACCACAGACTTCTGGTCAATGAGCAAGTTATACAACAAACTTTTTATAGGAACATAAAGGTATACATTGCCTTGAACTCTGGTAAAGTATGTCACAGTGTCCAAAATAAAGCTATTAACAATAACAATGTAGGTGACTGTTCATGAATATGAATCCTAAAAATAAAATCACAGTTAGTGTCAATGCTAGAGATCGTTGTTCAGTTTAACTAAAATTCTTCTGGAGGTTTAATCAACAACTTGGAAAGCACAAAAGACTGGAAAGGGGCATGGTAATCTGAGTCTGATTCTTGGATTTTATAGACCTACTCAACTTGGCACACAATAGATGCTTAGTAAACATTTGTATTGCCGAAGTATGCCACTAAGACTAAAAAGTACTCCAGAGTTAATCTGATTCAGAGAAGAGATTGCCACCTAGTGGAAAATCAGGCTCATTACCTGGGATTATCAAATAATGCTGACAACTTCCCAAATTAAGACTTGATCCTACTTAAAATACTACATGTGTGTTAGTATTCAGGCCACGTACGGGTAATAAAAAGATGAATAAGCCTTCATCTCTTCTCCCCACAAAATATAGACAATACAAAAAAAATCACATACCAAGGGGCATAAAGTAAATGATATTGCAGAAAAAAATTTTGCTTATTAGACAATCAAAAGCTAGTACTTCAGGAAATTTGCTAAAAAGGTGGGTTAGTATAGCAAAGAAGAGCATGGTCTCCAAGTCCAAACTTCATGGATTCAAGTCCTGGCTCATGTAAAATGAGAATAATTATAGTATTTATCTCTTAAGATTATTGTGAAAAATGAAGTAAATATATGTAAAGCACTTAAAACAGTACCAGGTACAAAGAAAGTGCTTTATAAGTATTAGTTATGATTATCATTACATGTAGAACAGGAGCCTAGAGATGGAGGTAAACAGATATTAATAACAGAACATTAACTGCTAAAGTCTAGCTTCATAAATTTAATTCAGTGGAAGCCGTTTCTTCTGACTAGTACTCTGTTATTATGGGAATCCTAAAAGTACATTATTTGTGGTACTCTGTGACTAAATTTTGTATTACTAGATGATTAACCCTTTCAACATCAGGCAAATAAAACTACCTTCTGAAAGTAAAAATTGTGTTTCTTACCAAAAACAGCAAAAAGCCAGTAGAATGAAAGACCCAAAAGACCACAACCTGAACATATGCTTAGCAGAGAAAGATGCCTGCTGACTCTTCACAGATTTTGCTAGAACTGAAAGACAGATGATACATTTAGCTACCACTGTGGTCTCATTCACAGCTTATTCAACTTATTTAAAAAAATGAGTTTGCTCCATTTTCCTTGAAAAATGTCTAAACGAATGAGCAGCTCTGATAAATACTATTTTAAAATCATGTAACTATTCTGTATCTTTTAAATTTTCTACCATTAAAACATTTATATAAAGATACATGTAAACTTTATTTTCTGACAAGAAAGCTTGGGCAAAATATTCCTGTACTAAAAAACAAATAAAATATAAGGCAAACCTATAATAGGTTAATAATAAATATTATAAATTTTAATAAAAAATACAAATACTATTTCATTTGATGATTCTGACCTGTATTTGATGAGTAAAATATTTTGGGTCTAAAACAACTTTCTGTTTTCTTACGAATATATACCATTCACAAGAACTGCTAAATCGTGGACTGCCTGGGATTATGTAACTTCTTCCTAAGCTTCCTCATTTTAAAAATAGTTAGGAAAATGTGTTGAAACATTTTGAGTTTTGTTTTTAAAGGTATTAGTATATTGAAAATTGTGTTCTAAAATCATGGTACAAAATAATTTAAATTCCATGTGTATTGTTTGAACTTTTTAATTTCTGAAACACTTTGAATTCCTTCATTTGACAGTAATATAGTATAGATACAATACGATGTTCTTATCTTCATGATTTATTTTCTAATACAACTGACCCAAAAAGGTGCATACTCTAATAAATAAAAGGCTGTCAACAGAATGAATAAAAAGAGGGGAAGAAAACCTTTTTTACAATTCCCTTTCATAGAGAGGTGCTTATCAGCATATTAAAACCTAAACTGCCACAAAGTCAAGTCTATATGGGTTACATGAACATGGTAACAACCCGTTTTACCTTTTTCCTTGTTTTAATATATCCTTTTTCCATTTATGAAGTACTTTCACAGTCTCTGACTCACAGGATTCTCACAAATAGCTCTCTTACGTGGCACAGGTATTAACAGTAGCAGCACCACTGACCAGATCAGGAAATGGAGCTTCAGGAAGGCAAGAGGCTTGCACCAGGTCACTACAGCAACAGAAATGAACCTAAAACCTCTGCTTTTGAATTCCTAAAAGCACTCTGCTCTTTCTACTGATGTTTCTAGAATGGACTTCTTAGTCCAAGTTTTGAGGCCTACTGCCTCAAAACCAAATCAGCAAATCCAACTGGGCTAATCTCCTGATGGAAACCCTTGATTCATGACCAAAAATTACTGAATAAAAAAAGATAAGAGTGGGACTTTCACTTGCATTTGTAGTGAAAATTTCAAAAGTCTAAAAGAAAGCACATTAGGAATTCATTAAATGAAGACTGTTGTGAAACCTCTAAAGGTTCTGAGGAAATAACTGCGCTGCTAATTTCTGTATGACAGTCCCAGGGATTAAGTGCCTAAGTGTGACTCTCCTTCACAGGAAGATTTAGAGGTGACACAGAGAAAGACCTGTCTCTGGACACACGTTTGCACCAGTCACCAAATTTGAATATGTGTTAGAGAAACTGATTTCTTCTTGGTGAGGTTTTTAAAAATAAATTTCAATTTTACAAATTATTTTCTAATATAATGTGCCTGGAATAGCATAACAATATCCATACAGTGATCAACAATTTCAGGTTTAGAACTTAACTGTCTAATAATTTAGCACTTATCACAACATTAACCAATAATCAATTAACCACTAATATTTCTGTGAATTTCTTATTGTGAACATTTAAATGTAACCACTCACATTTCATTTAAATTTAAAACTCTTTGCCAAATAATCCCACATTAATGTTACCTATAATAGGCGCATTTGTACATTTATGCATTTATGACCCTGTATGTAAGCCATCCTAGCTTAGCAAAAACAGTGAATGGTGATACATGACACCCTAAACAAATCAGAGACTAATAAAGACCGTTTATTTTGAATAGGATTTAACATATAAAGAAAACTGAACTGTAATTTTGGGAGTGACAGCACTATCAATGCAACGAGAACAATGAAATCCTAATTTCAGGACAGAAATTAAAGAAATGTATGAAACAGCATAAACCCAAACAATTCTAAGAATGCTATATTATTCCTGAAAAATGTGCCCAGAATCCTTATTTATTTTTTCTCAGAATGACAGAGAAGTGTAATTTTAGAGTTAAAAAAGACATTAAATTTCTAATTCCAGATCTTGTTTTCACTGACATTTGATTTTTTGCCTTCCTTTTAGGTTAAGAAATTCTTTTTTTTAAAATTTTTTTAAACATTTATTTTTGAGACAGAAAGAGACAGAGCATGAGCTGGGGAGGGGCAGAGAGACAGGGAGACACAGAATCTAAAACAGGCTCCAGGCTCTGAGCTGTCAGCACAGAGCATGATGTGGGGCTTGAACACACAGACCGTGAGATCATGACTTGAGCCGAAGTAGGATGCTTAACTGACTGAGCCACCCAGGCACCCCAAGATTAAGAAAATCTTAAAACTGTGACTTATTATAACTATGAGCTTTGATGAAAAAAAGAAACATGGAATAAGAAATTAAATATTCAACTGAAAACATTAAAGATCCTATTTCCGAAATGTTATTTACCTTTAACAAATACTCAAACAATTTTTAGGTGAATTTGACTTAGTTAAATTTACAAAAAAAGTGTTGACTACCTTTCTGTGATTCCAACAGAAGGGCACAACCATTTATGTGTATTTTTGCTGATATTTAAACTCCATAATTACAGTGCTTTTGGAAAAATAAAATGTTATAACATAATAATAATATAATCTATTTAATCTGTTTGGGTCGTAAAATATATCCAAGAAGCCTTTATTAATACAAAGGTTGAGAGTTTTCACAGAGTACATGATTCCTGGGTCAGTCTAAAAGTAAAGGTTGCTCGAAATATTCTTCACTTATCAGCAGTGAACTTACCATGGAAATCATAAATATACAGAAGAATTGGCTCATTCTGCCCAAATGCACAAAATGCAACCATATTTTCAAGTGGGTGATAAGAAATGTCTCGAATGGGTGATTTGAATGGCAGGTCAGAATACACTGCAACTTGTTCTCCTAAATAAGAAAAGACATTCAATAATCTGTACTATTTCAAATATCTCTCATTAGAAGATTATTCTGCAACTTAATTAAAATAGTTACAGTATGTAATAATGAAGCTACGTTATTTACATGAAAACTTAAAATATGTAAAAATAGTTGAGAAACTCTTAAATTTTTTCATGTTTATTTATTTTTGAGAGAAAGAGACAGAGCGTGAGCAGGGGAGGGGCAGAGAGAGGGCGACACAGAATCTAAAGCAGGCTCCAGGCTGTCAGCACAGAGCCTGTGCCGTGTGCTGCTCAGACGCAGGAACCGTGAGATCATGATGACCTGAACTCACAAACTGTGAGATGATGACCTGAGCTGAAGTCGGACACTTACTCAGCTGAGCCACCCAGGTGCCCAAGTAACTCTTATATATTTAATTATTTTTCATCCTGTTGGACCCCCTTTTCTACTTTTCAATTCAACCTCTTCAATGAGGTTTTCAAGGCACAAAATAAAAACAAAAAACTCAGTAGTAGAGAAATATCTGACCCTGAAATCTGATAGAGCTGAACAAATGCCAACTGACAAAGAACTCAGGGAGAACCCATAAGGAACTGCAGGCTCTAAAACTGAAGAAACTGGTTGAGGGAGATCTGGTGGGGAATAATTTTTTCTATTTTTCCCCTCCCTCCCCCGGAGACTGAGACACCACCTGCTTTAAAGATACATCTGATTATTGGGGCACCTGGGTGGCTCAGTGGGTTAAGTGACCAACTTCAGCTCAGGTTACGATCTCACAGTTTACGGGTTTGAGCCCCGCGTAGGGCTCTCTGTGCTGACAGCTCAGAGCCTGGAACGTGCTTTGGAGCCCGTGTCTCCCCTTCTCTCTGCCCTGCTTCCCCGTACTCACTCACACACACTCTCTCTTAAAAATAAATAAAAAAATTAAAAAAATTTAAAAAGATACATCTGATTATTAATGGCTAAAAGAGGCCTACAGAGAGATCTAAGGAACCTATGAAAACCAGAACTCACAAAGAAAAGAACCTAGATCTACTTATTGAAGGGAAAAAAAGATTTAACACTTCCAAACTGATCCTAAAGTATCAAAACACGATAAGAAAAAGACAAAAAACTCTAAGTGAACTGACTAGTCAAAAATGCTTAAGGGAAAGTGAGAGAATGTGGCTTCAGGAGGGCACTTGTGATGTGTACCAGGTGGTGTGTGTAAGTGCGAATTACTAAATTCTACACCTGCAACTAATATTACACCGTATGTTAACTAACTGGAATGTAAATAAACACTTGGAAAAAAAATCAAGAGAATAAACACAGTGAACCAAATAGTATTAATTTTTAAATTTTTCCCCCAAATACTATTAATTAAAGATATTTTAAATTTTATAAAATCTCTCAATTTAGTGCTAAAAAATGTTTATGTGGTTTTAGCTTTTCTTTTGAAAACCAAAGGTGAGGCACAAATCAACTCCGCAATGTAACAGTTTCCTGTACTGGGAAAAGAATTAATTACAGTAATTGAGGTAAACTGCGTTGGCTTTTTTTGTGTTGTTTTAAAGATTTTATTCTTGGGGTGCCTGGGTGGCTCAGTTGGTTGAGCGTCCGACTCTGGCTCAGATCATGATCTCGCAGTTCGTGGGTTCGAGCCCCACATCAGGTTCTGTGCTGGCAGCTCAAAGCCTGGAGCCTGTTTCAGATTCTGTATCTCCCTTTCTCTCTGACCCTCCCCTGCTCATGCTCTGTCTCTCTCTGTCTTAAAAATAAAAAAAATAAACTATGAAAAATTAAAGATTTTATTCTTAAGTAACCTTTACAAACCCAATGTAGGGTTTGAATTTATAACCTGAGGTCAAGAGTTGCATGCTCTACCAACTGAGCCAGCCAGGAGCCTCAGGTAAATTGCTATTAAGTTTCAGACATCAAAACTTTGACAATTTATTTCTAATAAAAATATATTACAGATATTTAGCCATGCGTATACTCACTTATATTCCAAATACAGCTTATAAATATTTTATATTTTGCATTATAATCTTAATTAAGTACTTCTCTTAATATAGGATGGGGAATATAGTCAATAATACTGTAATAACTTTGTGTGATGACACATGGTAGCTACACTGAGCATGTGAGCATTCTGTAATGTAACTGCTGAATCATTATGTTTGTCACACAGCTTAAACTAATATCATATGTCAACTGCAATAAAAAAAATACTTCTCTTAAGATTGATAATCTCTCATTATAGGCAAGGACAGAATAAACCTTGAATTATAATGTGAAAGTTATCAAAACAGTAAAGAACAGAATGTAATACAAATTTAGACTGCAGCTTAGTTCCATTATCAGCTTTCCCATTTTGACAAACATAATTGAGAGCCTGAAATCAGAACCTCCCTGAAAATTATTCCAGAAAATGGCAGTTTTCACCTTTATTCAAAACAAAAACAAACCCAAAAGTATTTTTAAGATCAATGAAACATTTACCTGTTTCTGGGTTCCAAACATATACTATGCCATCTTCACTTCCCGCAAAGAGAAAAGTCCCACATGGTGTCAAAGTACTATGAATCTTTTCCCGATAATTTGCTGCACCTACAAATTTCCTTGCTGCTAATCTACAAACAAAAAAGATTTCACAAATGTAGTATGTCTTAACCATTGAAAGGATTGGTGGTTAAAAAAAAACTTTTCTCTTAAATACTTCATTTGCATTTAACAATTTTTGAGACTCTGTTACATGGGAGACATTCTATGATGGGTGTAGAATAAAGAAAAGATAGTCCCAGGGACTCCCAGGTCAAGGAGTTTCTAATTTAGCAGGACAGAGAAGGAATGAATCAATGTTAAACAGAAAATGGATATAGAAAGTGCCACAAAAGAATAAAAAGGGTACTTTGCAGATAAAGGTGATTATTTCTATGAAGAGAGAGCCTACATTTTAGAAGTAGCATTTGAGTTGGTTACTGAAGAAATGTACAGAATTTTTATGTTCTTTTATTTTTTCCAGGTGATAAATTAAAAAAAAAAAAGAGTTTACCTATTTACTTTGAGAGAGTGTGCATGAGCAGGGGAGGAGAGAGAGAGGAAGAGAGAGAATCCAGAGCCCAACAAAGGGCTCGATTGCATGAACCAAACTGTGAGATGAAGACCTGAGCTGAGCCACCCAGGCACCCCCATGTGATAAATTTTTAAGATCACACAATGCATAGTTGGATACTTGTGGAAATATGAGATTAAAATCTTATTAAATCATCTATTAAATATGGTATATAACCTTCTAGACTTTTTTACTTGTGAATAATAGCTAACATTTTAGTGCTTGCTATGTGCAGGTAAACACACTATCGTGCCTAGTTTAACAATGATTCATGAATAACAGTCCTCTGTGTCCAAAAGTATAGATTAGGTATTATCATTATAGGAGGTATGTATTATATCACTGTCTAAATGTACCTTAAGAAATCTTCTACTATGGGACAATAGAATGTTCCCAGCTTTCTCCTACCATGAACATGATTTCTATGAACAACCTTCTGTAAATGTATTTTTTCACTGTTTTATGATTATTTTCACATAAATTCCCAGACCTGAGGCTTTTGGGCCAAATATATCTAGAGTCCTTGCTATATGGTGTAAAGTTTTAAGTACTTTACATACGTAAACTAATTTATTCCCTGTAAAACTCTTATAAATATGTTATATTATTTCTCCCATGTGAGGGGGAAAGAGGCAGAGAATGGTTAGTTGGTCAGGAATAGAAAAGGCAGTATTTGCCTTTAAGCAGTTTGCCTCTAGAGCTCAAGCATGATTCTAAGCTGAATACTAATTACTACTTAGAAAGAGAATAACCAAACTTCTTAGGCCTGGCCTTCTAAAATCTGGCTCTAATCTCTACCGCTAAAACAACTCTCAGGGCTCCTTGGCGGCTCAGTTGGCTCAGGGTCCAGCTCTTTCAGCTCAGGTCATGATCTCACAATTCGTGGGATCAAGCCCTGTGTTGGGCTCTGTATTGATAGCATGAAGCCTGTTTAGGATTCTCTCTCTCATTCTCTCTCTGTCCCTCTCCTGCATGTATGTGCGCTCTCTCTCAAAATAAATGAGTAAACTTTAAAAACAAATAAAAAAATTTCTCTCTCAGCGCTCCTTATCAAGAAACTTATGCATCTACAGATTTATCCACCCTTCCTTGAACACAACTTCTATTATCCTACCTCTGAATTTTATTCCAGGCTTTTCATGTTTTCCACCCTCCCGACAATACTTCTATCTTGTCTAAATTCTATCCATCCTTCAAGACTGAGCTCAAAGGTCAGCTTCTCCATAGAGCCTTTAACAGAATACTACAGTAGACTTATCACCTTTACTATTGCCATGAAAGATATAATCCTCCTATTACGTATTTATCTTCATTTAAAAAAAATACATATCAAGTACTTACTATCTGCCAGGCATAACACAGGTACTATGCATGAAAGAATAAGCAGATTCCAATCCTAGAAGATCTTACAATGTAGCCTAATTAAATGTTTTGTGAGTTTTTCTGGAGGCAGTACAACTAGATTATAAACTCCTAATGAACAAATTCTGCTAATCATTCTCACATAGCACTGATGTCAGTACCCTGAAGAGCTCCACATTAAATACTGAAGGCTGTAACAGCCCTAAAAGATAATTGCAGAATAAACTAGTATAGACTACCACATTTTCCTTTCAAAATACAATAATGACAACTAGTAGGACTAGCTTTCTCTTGTTTGTTTTACAAGTACTATTAACACCAAACAAAAACCATCAGAAGACCATGTTAGTTTTTCCAGAACTCTACTTCTCTGCTTTTTACATTAAGGATATTTCCTTTCCTTATTGAGAAATAAAACAGAATAAGAAAAACAAGGACATATTAATCAAAAGCCATCTCATTCTGTTATGATAGTATATCAGAGTAGTACACTTTACCAGTATCATCAAAGTAAAAGATATCTATGGTAGAAGTTTCTTCTTCTTCTTTAATTGTGACAAAAAAGAGCAACTGACTATATTTCTACTCCAGAACTATTCACATTTGAGCCAAAAAATTCTTTGTTGTGTGGGGAGGCTGTCTTACAAACTATAAGATGCTTAGCAGTATCTCTGGTCTCTATCCACTATATACTAACATTCAAAAATGCTTCCAGACACTGTCAGATGTCCTCCAGGGGAAAAATTGTCTACTTAAGAACAAAGCTGCATTTTATAAATATGAATTAATTCAGTTCTTATTCTATGAGCACTTTATCTGTCAATATTGAAATATACTTACATTCGGAGATCCATAATTCTCAAAGTACTGTCTTTGGTATGGATTAACAATCGTTTTCCATTGGGATGAACCTCCATATAACTTATGGGAATCCCCTTAAACTCACTTTCCTTAATTTCCTGAAATGATTAAAAAAGATTATAAAATACTACCACTGAACAGTTTATTGAATATGAAGCACCTTTTAGAGTATAAAATTAATTTGAAGAAGTCATTTTCGATTGCAATTTAAAGGATCCTTTAAAATTGTTAGCCAAAGAATTCGCAATAAAGGTTGAAAATAAAGCTGATAATATATATCTTCTGTTATATAATGCTGCACTTAACTGACATTATTGTATATTCCCAAATAAAAAGCACTTCCTAAAACCTAATTTCTAACACTGAATTTTCTTGCTTACCATCATAAGAGAAAGCTTCTAATTTTTATAACTGCAAAAGTTAGTACCAAATTAACTTTCAAATTCTATTTCAGTCTGAGATTATTTTTTCAGGTACTTATTTCCACTTTGTCCCTAAAAAGATATGCTATTATGCTATGCATCTTATTCTGAGCTCATCTGATTTAGACTGTAGTTTTACATTATTTTTGTTTTTTTGTTTTTTAGGAACAAGAACCAAGATTTTTATTTGTTCACTTCCTGCATTTGAAGTATTCCTCAATGACATCCTAGGCCCGAGACTCTCTGCCATAGATAGTCTTAACCATCACACAACTGCAAGCAACCACGTTATCGGCTTTTCCTTCCCTGTCCATTTTACAGAGGCTGACCCACTCCCCTAGTTTCTTGTCGTCATCAACCTTAATGAGGCTGATCTGGTGCTCAACACAAAATGTCTCCCCACCAATACAGAGGCTGATCCCAGCAGGATACAAGCACACAAAGACGGGCTTGATGGTTGTCTAGGCTTTGGCGGCTTTGCAAATTCCACATGCTAGGCCACTGTGGATGGGGGTGGTCTTCAGGACCTCTTGTAAAGCAGTAACAACATGCGTTACACCTCCATCCAGCAGCAATGCCTTCCTCCGTACGGTGGTGGGTTATGATGGAGCCAAACCTCAAGTGCACCTGAGCCTCCAAGATTTTTTTTCGGATAGTTATTTAAGGCAGCGATGGAAGATGTCTGGCTAATGATGTCAAGACCTATACACTGAAGGAAACTCTGCCTGGATGAGCCTCACACAGAAGAATTACTAAAGCAAAATGCTTACACTAAAGTCCACAGAGTCAGCAGAAAGTCTGCTTTAACCTGCAGGCAGAATTTGGAATTAGCCTTCATTTCCTTTGAGGACCTGACTGATGCTTTGTCTCCAGCTCCTAGAGGGTCTCCTCTTCAGAGGTGGTCTGGCACTAGCTGAAGTACGGAGGGGTAAGTTCCAGCAGCGGCAGCTGAGCCCATGCTATTGCTGCCTGACACTGAGACCTGACACTAGCTCCTTTTTAAAAGTTACAGGAAAAAGTCAAACACTGACAACACAGGGGGGGTGATGCTGATTGAACTACGACAACGTGGGGTGGGGAGGCACTGTTGGGGTATGAGGAACATTTACACAGACGCAAATGTGCAAAATCAAAAACACAGAGCTGGCTAACAAGTTGTGTTGGACATGAATTTGACAAAAGTGCTAGCATGTCTAGCGTTTGTAGTGTCTGTTAACGATTTCCTCTGTAGTTTTCTTGATCATACTCATCTTCAAACTAAAAAAGCCCTAGTTTTGAAGGCCATGTCCTGTAACAAGGAGTGTGTGCAATTGCACATGGACACTTCACCTTAAGGGACAGCTGAGTATAACCTCACGTCTCACACCGCTGGCTGAAGAGAACCAGGTAAGAAATCAGAGTCTACAGTTTGTTCTAGGGCAGTAGCTACTGAAAGACATTCCAGTTCACTTCCTAACTTTTAATTTTGGACTGTCTTAAGTAACTATCAGGTTGTAGATTTTGAAGATAAATTTGCCTTTTAGTTACTATACTGAGGTAAAGAAACACACGATTTTTAAGACAAATAATAGACCGCGTTATACATACAAATTACTGGAACAGGTATCTTGGGAGTTTTGCCAATCCCTCAGGTATGTAAGTAATTAGAAAGTTCTTTTCAAAGTGTGTGAAATTAATCTACAACATGAATCCCAAGCTATCAATCATTAATCTGATAGACTAGAGGGGAATGACTAAAAATAGAATAGGCAGTTTTTTAAACAGATCTGATAGATTCAACTAAAGTTCATAAAAGGTGTCTTTTTTTCAAATGAGGACAACTGCTATTATAGAAGAAAAAAACCTTAAGAATAAAAGTATAGCATATAAGATAGAAACTATATCAACTTATACAGAACTCAGGTTTAAGAATTCATTTTGTATTTTTAACTAAAAAGCAGTGAATATGCACCAACAATATTGCTTAATATACGAGGCACCATAAAAACACTCCAAAAATGAAAGTTTATTCATTTGATTCTGCCTACTTAGCAAAGTTAAATTAAAACAATTATTGTGATTGAATGGTAGACCCCACTCATAATTATATAATTTTGATTACATCATTGTGGAAGGACTGTTGACAAAATGTTGAACACACGGTTTTCATTTTTTATTTTTTTAAACTCTTAAAAAATTTTTTTTAATGTTTTATTTATTTCTGAGGGAGAGAGACAGACAGAACATGAGTGGGGGAGGGTCAGAGAGATGGGGAGATACAGAATCTGAAGTAGGCTCCAGGCTCTGAGCTAACTGTCAGCACAGAGCCCAACGCGGGGCTCAAACCCACAAACTGTGAGATCATGACATGAGCTGAAGTCGGACGCTTAACCGACTGAGCCACCCAGGTGCCCCGAGCACACTGTTTTTAGAGTGATGTTACTGGGTCAAAAGAAAGAATATGAATAGGAGAAAACATAAGTTATGACTTATAGATGGTAATGTAACATATGCCTCATTTGAGTGTAATTTCGGTAGTGGATCACTGAATGCCATATTACAAATTAGGGTTCAAAATAAGAAAGTGAAGTCTGACTAAAACGAAAATTTTCACTACGCTGCTGTATCATCAACTGGCCATTGGGAAGACTTGATAATTAATCAGTGATAGCTTGCAGGGACTGAGAAAAACTTCACTTTTTTTGAAGAGAGAACAGAGTGTCCTGATGTCATATTTTTAAAGTCATGTGGGTTCAATATTTTTGAATTTCTTTAATTAAACCTGAATATGAATTATGATTTTGTACCTTATTTACACTCCAGTGGCGCACTGAATGTTGCCCATTGTTAACTTTGACATAGGTATTCCAAACAACAATCACGCCTGTGCAATCTCCTGAATACATGTGATGACCTATTTAAAAAAAAAAATTACCCTTTTATAAGTGCTACATACAGGTAGAAACAAGTAATACGAAATTGGAAACACAGCCCAGTATAACAAAGAATCAGAGAGCTATTAAAAGGCATTTTAGTAAGGGGGAAAAAAAAGACCTAAAGCCAAAACACAAATTGTAGTCCAGTCCCAATAATCTTTAAATGAATTCTTCACTCTTCTGAATTACCTTTAATTACGTATTTCCCTTTGTCATTTACTTGACCTTGAATACAAAAAGAAATGAGCATCTAGTGCATTTGTATATAGTTCACATTATAAAACCAAACAAACTGTTTGAATTATGTACATCTGTACTGCTCACTTTCGTTAACCTGTATAATCTGTTTTGTATTTCTGGAAAAACACCTATATTTTAATATATACTTTCAGCAAAATGCCTAAAACCAGTAGAAACTTAATAAATGATCAGATAATGAATAAAATAGTAAATAACAGGTGTTTCGGGTTAATATACACTCTGAAGAGTCAAACCATCTCATAGTTGAATGGGACCTCAGAGACCATCAAATTCAACTTCACACCCACTCAGGAATATCTTCCACACCATAATGAACAGATAATTGTTCAGCAACTGTGAACTTAATATTAAACAAAGCAGCTATCCAACTGATAAACTACTCTGTATACTAGAATGTTCTTTCTAATTCTGAACAAAGAATATCTGCCTTCTGCAGCTTTGGTCTCATCTCTACCTACTGGAGCAACACAGACCAACTTTCTTTGTTTTGTGGACAGATGTCTTAGTCAAATATTTGAAGAAATTCATTCTTCTTTTTATAGTCTCAGTTACTTCTACTATGACAAAGTTTACAGACATCTTTCTATCCTTGGTTGACTTTTCTTAAAAGTGTTCCAATTCATCCTTATGGTTAAACTGAATATATTAGCAGTATTGTCATTTTGATCCAGATTCCATACTATTTAATTATAGCCATAGTCTGTATATCTAGCATCTGAAATAATGTAGAGGTATATACCATATTCATATGGGTTTTGTGAGGAATAAACTAGTTTACACACGTAAAGTACTTAAAACATTAAACCACATAGCAAGGACTCCAGAAACGTTTGATTCAGTAACCTTACATTTGGGAATTTATGTAAAGAAAATAATTATAAAACAGTGTAACGAAGCTTTATACACACGCACACATATAAATATAAAATTCATACAAATTGTGTTCATGATATACGAAAACTGAAAACATCCTAAATATTTTCAATACTAGAAAAAATTTTTTCTTGAAACTTTCTTAAGATATATTTAGATAACTATATAACATACATGTATTAAATGTTAGCTGAATGCAGTGGTGCTCAGTACATAGTATAAAACACACATTTCCCCTACTATGTATCTAATATTCTTTTGGTATTTCCCCCTTCTTCCTCATTTTAACCCTTTCACTCAAAGCCACTTAAAAAAAACCTACTGAGGGGGCGCCTAGGTAGCGCCTAGGTAGCTTACTCAGTTAAGTGTACGACTTCAGCTCAGGTCATGATCTCAGAGTTTGTGGGTTGTTGCCCCATGTCAGGCACTGCACTGACAGTGCAGATTCTCTCTCTCCCTGCCCTTCCTCCACTTGCACTTTCTCTCTCAAAATAAATAAATAAAACTTAAAAACAAACAAACAAAAAACGTACTGAGGGGATAATCACCAATCCAATGAGATATATTTATGAAATTTGATATATGACTATTGTCATAGCAAAGATTAGCTGAAGATAAATGTTTAGGAATTTAATGAACTTAAAATTACCAACAAAACTCCCTCAGTGCTAAGTCTGTGCCTAGGTCTATATGATCTGCAAAATATACATATATCCAAATACATACAATTATCAATACACAAAATCCCTTTCGAACTTAAAAAAATTATTTTAGTGAACTAAAATTTAAAAAAAAATTTCTTCATGAAACTAGCCTTCATTTGAAATATATTGTGACCTACCTTCAATATCAAAACAGAGAGAGTTGATGAAACTCCTGTGCGTGTCAAACTGTTGGATCAATATGGCAGGATCCTCTTTCATATCAACTTTCCATACCCGTATCACAGAATCATAGCACCCTGTAACCACCAGCTCCTTTGCAGCAGGATGGAATTTAGCCGTGTAAACAAAAGAAGGGTGAGGCAAAACTCTGAAAGTATTGGTATTATTTACTTCATTTTTCCATATCCTGGAAAAGGATAAAAGTTACATATTGCTTCTTAAAAGCAGAAGTTTCTACATCTTTCTCTAAAAACACAGCCAATGGGACTTAAGTAAGCAATGATAACAACCAATGGTAAACTAAATTTCCTAACAATCAAAAATTATATGATCAAAAATTTGATGGCTGGGGTTCTTTACATTTTGACAAAGTTACTTCTTAGTATCTACTTCTTAGTTATTATGAAGCATGATAATCTGCCTACTAATTGTAATCTATACTGTAAAATGAAAAATTATATTTGGATATGTCTGTTTTTATTAAATATACTTATTTTTGTCATTGATTAAATATACACTGTATAGTTAGTAAAATACTGCAGTTAGTACATTACACACAAAAAATAAAATCTAAGGAGAGTTTTAATTATTCCCCACTTAGATTGTGTATATTGGTTTTGCAAAGTGCTCACTGGTAGAGGAACAGAGAACAGGATACTCTATTAGCCTTATATATGTAATTTCATAGCGTAGATATGATCTCAAAGACTTAAAAGCCGTAATGAAATTACTGTATGAATCTTGCATAAAATAAGATTAAAATAATTATGATTTTTGATAGAAAACAGACTAACTTATATTAAATATTCAATTTATGTTCAACACTCTCATTATCTCTTCCTCTAAATAATGGACATTTTAAAAAGCTGTATTACTGTCACTGTAGTATTACAAGACACTCTTTTGACAAAAGAGTACTATCCCTACGGGTTAAAACTGTTATGTTAGATACTCTGCAATTCTAGCCAATGTGTAAAAATAGGAAAAATCTAGCAACAGACAGGTACTAAATGAATGTGGAACACTGGGTTTTTAAATTTTGATTAAATTACTAGAATTAGAGAAATATATTAATTTTTTAATAAGGGGATTTACAGTTCATTCTTTTAATTACTACCTAAGAACTAAAGCAAATTAAGTCCCTTTCAAAATTATCAAAGAAAGAAAACATATGGTTGCCATTCAAGAATAACATTCTATGCATTTTCTCAGCAGCTGCTTCAAATACAGGATATGATCTTCAATTACTAAGAATCCAAACTAATGATGAAGGAAGTGAAAGAACATGTTTTTTAAGTAAAAATAAAGCATGTGTGTCACTGCCTAAACATATTTACCTTAGTAATACTTTCAATGAATGTATGCTGCATGAAATATAGTACTTACTGAAAGAACAAAATCACCAATTTGTGATTAAAGTTGTTAAGATCGATTAAAAGAAAACTTCAGTTGCTTGCTAAAAAAAAAAAAAAAACCTCAGCAGTATTATCTGAAATAGTATATAACAGGCAGAAATGAAGAAATCATATCCTAAAAAAGCAGCTCAATTAAAACAGACACAGTATTTTTGGGGCGCCTGGGTGGCCTGTCGGTAAAGCATCTGACTTCAAGTTAGGTCATGGATCTCACAATTCGTTGGTTCAAGCCCAACATCTGGCTCTGTGCTGACAGCTCAGAGCCTGGAGTCTACTTCAGATTCCATGTCTCTCTCTCTCTTTCTGCACCTCCCCTGCTTGTGCTCTGTCTCTGTCTCTCAAAATAAATAAATGTTTAAAAAAATTAAAAAAAAAGACACAGCATTTTAAAATAAAAGTGAAGTTTTTCATTCAAGACCTAACTGGTATGAATGAATGATGGCTTTCATCAAGCAAGCAATGGTCGAGTCCAAGAACAAAAGAAATATATTAATGAGTCTGGGGGAAAAACACGCTGATCACAGACAAATAACAAGGATATACTCAAACTTGTAATGACTAGATGACCACATATACACATAAAATTATTAGAACTGAGAAAGAAAAAACCTGAAGTTACAATAGTATGTGGGATAATGGGTGGTGTGGGGACCTATGTGCCTAACTGGGAGCCCTTACACATGGGAAAAGTCTGATTATATTAGGAGTATATTATTATATAATTATTATATAATACAGATTATATGGATGACAGCTAAAGACTTTGGTTAAACTTACATGGCAGAGAGCTATCTAGCGGGAAAGAGACACTACCACCAACATGTGGTGTGGGTCCCCAGGAAGCCAGAAGGAGAAGCAGCAGCCGGAGAAACCCATGCCTCTGCCACCCTTAGCATTAGCAACTCTCATTCTCTTCCTCTGGACTTTAGTTTATTCATTTTTAGCAGCCCTTACCTCTTTCAAACACCTCACTCTTTTTGGTTCTAGCCACAATGTTTCTCTCTTCACTCAGTTAATCCAACACATTAATATTTTTAAGATGCAAAGAGCTCTCAAAGCTACAAAAAGAAAAAGGTGTATTTTGCTACAATGTATTATGTGCTCTGTGGAAAAATCCAAGAGACTTCAAGAAATGGTTAAATATGACCTGGGTTGTTTTGTTTCCTTTTTTAAAAATCTTTGTTTAGTTTTGAGAGAAACAGAGACAGAGCGCTAGCAGGGAAGGGGCAGAAGAGATGGACACATGGAATCCGAAGCAGGCTCCAGGCTCGGAGCTGTCAGCACACAGCCTGATAAGGGGCTCGAACTAACAAACCATGAGATCATGACCTGAGCCATAGTCGGACGCTGACTTTCAGGTGGCCCAGAGCTGGGTTTTAAATGATGACTAAGAGCCCATGGTGGCTCACAAAAGGCACTTAAATGTTTGCTGAATCACTGAGTTGGTCAGGAACTTTAGGAAAAGGGCATTTAAGCACAGGAAGAGGAGGTAAGCTACAGGGCATGGAGATTCCAAAGAGGGTAAGATACTAAGGACATTTCAAAAGACTGGGGGAGGCCAAGGGCACATGGCAAGTGCACAGGACAAGGGTGCAGGGTCAGTGAGAAACATACCTGTTATGCCGTGGTAAGGAACTGGAACATTTTCTTTATTTTCTTCTTTTTTTTTTTTTTAATAATTTTTAAAATGTGCTCGCATGTGCTCATGTGAGCAGGAGAGGGGCAGAGAGAGAGAGAGAATCCCAGGCAGGCCCCATGCTGTCAGTGCAGAGTCTGACATGGGGATCAATGCCACCAACCTGACCTGAGCTCAAATATAAGAATTGGATGCTCAACCAAGTGAGCCACCCAGATGCCCCAGGGACTAAAACATTTTAAAAAGGGCGGTGGTAATCATAGACTTCTGAAAATCAGGGCATCGTGAAAGATGCTTTTCGAAAGATGGAGAACAAGAGACCGAACAGTGGGGAAGTTTAGCACCAAAAGTTTAAGAGAAGATTGCAAGGGCTTGAATGAAGGTAACACCAGTGAGGACAGAAAGAGTGTGAGAGAATGGTGAGCCTTTTAGAAGGGTGAACTGACAGACCTGGCACTGCTTGGATGCGGAGAGGAATGGTGGGAAGAAAAAAAGGAAATGAGTGCTCTTCTGGGTTCCTGGCTCAGGAGACAGGGTGGATAGGATGCCATTAAAAAAATCCACAAGAAGACTAAAAGAGGAAAGCAAAGTTTGGTGATATCAGCAAGTCTGATGTGAGGTGCCGCTGGATAGTCCAGACAGAAGTACGTAACAGAAAGTGAAATTCAGAAAAAAAGTGGGCGCTAGAAGTCACTGCCTATGAGTAAGACTACAAGCCAGGAGAGACGAGAGACACCAGGACGAGCATACCAAACCGGGGAAGACGACAAGGAGACGATTCGGGGGAATAAACGTCTATAGAGAACAGGAAGGGGAGGAGAAACGGAAAGCAGGGAATGAGAACTGGCCAGAGTCATAAAAAAGAAACAGAAGAGGTTGTCCAGGAAACCATTATCTGAAAATATTTTGAGACCAGTCAATAATTAAGTACTGCAGTGAAAGTAAACAGGGGAAGGACTAAAACTGGCTCTTGGATCTGAAGATCAGCAAGTGACTGCTGACCTCTTGAAGAAGGCTTATCTAGCAGAAGGGGAGTGAAAGCCAGGCTGAGTGGAAGTGAAGACAATGTGCATAGAAGGCCCTTGATGGTGTAGAAAGAAAAAATAATGTGGTAGTCTGGGAAGCAGGAAGAGTTGAGGAAAAGATTTCTTAAGATAAAGAAGATCTGAATGTATTTTAGGATGACAGGACAAAGTCAACAGAGAGGAAGATAGTGAAGAGACAAGAGGTAGGAAACAGAGCTGCAGACTGAAGGACTGAGATTAAAAGCGTAGATCAAAGGGTGGCCGAAAAAGTGTCTCAATTCACATTTTTGTTAAGGCAGCAGACAGAGATAAAGATGGGTACACTGATAGATACGGGGTAGGAAACCAGAGGGAAATGCAGGAAGTGCATGTCTGGCTTCATTTCGCTGTAAGCTGAAGGCAGTTGGCTAGTGAAAGTGGGAAGCTGTGACTCAGTGTACAGAACTCCAGGTGCCGTGAGGCCTGGAAGTGCTGCTAGAGGAATGAGAGGAAACCGCTGAATTTTGATAAGGAAAAGGACTGTGCAGCTGGGATGAGAGCTCAGGTGATTTTAAGACTTACAAATCCAGTCAGGCCTCAGCAGGGTTACAAATTGTTCTCTCGCCCAGCCTGGCCTCAGACAGAATGGCTGTGCCAAGAGGACAAGCAGACGAGAGGTTCTGGGGGCTAATGTCAGGAGGGACTCATAGCAGGTTCCCAGCTACACAGGGAAGGAAATCAATTCTCACCAATTACTCCCTTTTGCATTTAAATATACACTAAGCAGCAATGATAACATCTTAATCACTTAGACATTTTATATTAAAAAGGAAGCTGAAAAGGTTAATAGCAGAAGGGACCCAGACACTGGGAGTGTCTGCTATGCAGTGTGTTAGAAAAGCAGGAAGCAGAAGTTAAGAGTGAAGTCAGAGGGGAATGATGAAGTGCTCTAAGCGTCAGCTTCTTAGTGCACAGAAATAATAAATGTTTACGTGTACCCACCTACATTTGTTGGAATCAAATTAAATGATATCTATAAAGGCATTTTGAAAAGCAGCCTAATTTAGAATACATGTAAGGTAGAGCAAACAGTTAAAACAGTGCTGATGTCACTTCACAATGTAGCTTTTAAAAATGTTATTGTGATACTTAGGTTAGAAGGGGTTAGATTTTTTTATGACTGACATTCTGAAAAACACAAATATTAACAATCTAGAAAACACTTAAAACATGAGGTGCATATTCACTTACAAAGTATCCCCTGCTTTTCTAAAGTCTGCATTATACCACTTTACTTTTACCTAAGACTTCTAGTAATACTCTGTTTGTTTTCACTAACCAAAACACATCCAAAGAGGATTTCTGCTTTGATGGAAAAAGGAGAAAAGCAAAATTAGGGTTCAGTATTTGTTCTGCAATAAGGCCTTCCAGAGGCAGCGCACACCCCAAGCAGTGAGAGTGGCACTGCCAAGCTTTTCCCCGGAAACTACACTTGGCATCTCCACAGCGAGCTGCAACAGCTCTGAGCTGCATCTGTGAGCATCTCTACTTTATCTCAGTTTATGGTGCGCATCCGTTAGCAAGATGTGTCCTATGGTATCAGAAAAATCCAAGAGGTTATTTTTAGGTCTGGGAGTACTCAAAAACTTTTCCATATAAGTTAACAGTAATTACTTCTTCATTTTATGCCATTTTTGTCCTAAGAGAAATTTCAACAGAAACACCATACTGTTGGATAGCAGATGAAACCTTTATTGGCCCTACACCATGTACGGTGCAGCACTGTGGCCTGGTCCCTGCCCACAGCTAACAGTGAAGGCAGAATCCCTACCATTGAGAGCTTATACTCTTAGAAAAATATCAATTGTTTAATAACCTTATGTCAAAGTATTAATCAAACAGTGTACATAATGATCATTTAAAGACACTGAGACCAGAAGTATCGTATATTACATAAATACAAAATATTTAATAAAAACATCTTCAGCAAAAGTTTTCCACTACTACTTATCTAATCAGTCTGATGCACCTCTTTGATAGTCCCTTGATCAGCCTAACACAACTGATGCATTAGTTATTTTCCTTGACGGCAAGCAACATACACAAGAAGTACTTCTCAAATATACTAACCTGGCAGTGCCATCAGATGAGGCAGTAAGGATATAGCGATCATCATGTGACCAGCAAAGATCATAAATGATATTGAGATGGCCACACAATTCTCTCATGAAACGTCCAGAAGGAATTTCGTATACTAATGAAAATAGTAAAAAATTAGTAGGTTTCCAGGACAGAATCCTTAATCCAGTAATATGCAAATACACAGTTTATGATAATCTGTACATAAAGTAAGCACTGCCTCCAAGGATATTATCACCAAAGATATTTTAGCATAAAAAATTTCAAAGTCTACTTAAAAACAGTTTTTCATTTCCTTTAGATGTAAGAACTTCTACATATAAAATTTTACAATATGCTCCAATTAACATTTATTCTCATCTCTTCAAAGCAATTTTTCCAATAATCTTTGACAACCATTAATTAAATAATAAATAGCATTTAAATTGTAACTCAGTTCAAAGATTCTATAATTTGGGCTTTCATGAATAAAGCATTACTTTACTGAAAATCAATTAAATTCCAACAAAATTTTAATTCTTTAAAGAATAAATTTAAACTGTGCTATTGTTAGAAAAAAATTCTAATACTAAAATGATTTAGTAAGAGAATTAACAAAGGCCTAATCCGATTAAGAAAGCATTGTGGTACTGCTATAAATTAGGTTCACAATAAAATCTTCTAAGATAATGACTTAATAATACAGAACAACAAAGTGTGCAAGTCTCTACTTCCACCTAGTGGTAAAACCAAATTCCCTTTAAAATACTAAGCAGAACAGAAGTACTTCTGGAATAGCAACAGAAGGGCTTCCAAATATCTGCTCCCTGATAAAAACAAAAAGAACACTGCAAATATTATCCAAATTAACTTTTTCAGAACTCTAGAAACTAAACAAAGATTTGCAACAATCTGAGAAGCATTTATTTAAGAAAAACAGCTGAGTCTTGGTAAGAACCTGAGCTTTGCAGTGTTTTAAGCCTGCCGTGTTCCCATTCTCTTCTCTCAAACTCCAAAGCAGCTTTAAAAACCAACAGCCTCACAACAATGCCAGCAGCCTCGCAGCCACAGGATGGAGCAGATGAGGTATGAAGCTTCCCTCAAACCCCATCCCCAAGACTTATCACTATTAGGACAGTCTAGCAGTTCCCTGAAAGGCTCCATTCTCAGGGCTTGGCTTTATTTGACTTGGCTTAGAGCATGCACTGTGTAAACAGCCCTAACCCTAGGATGCATGCTGAAATAATCGGTGGCACAGCAGTCTGAGGTAGTGATACCAACTGAGGCTAAGAAGCAGCTGAGCAAAAAACTTAAAACGAAAAAACTGAAAATGAGATGTCCGTAAGAAATTTCAAAAAGACCTAACAAACTCCTGGGAATCTAGCAGGATGTATGCATGTGAGTGAAAGGCTTGAGACGCTTTGTCACTCTGGCCGACCTCAAAAGGCTCTGTGCAAACAGAAAGTGAAGGCTAAGGCAGAGTTGCAAACTGCCTACACAACATGTCAAGTGTGTGTTTCAACACATACACAGATCTGCCTGGCAAAGGCTAGGTGATCTGCTTAGTCAAGGCAGTTAAAAATCTCTAACTATGACAGACCATCAAGCTAAGTGAGCAGAGACTCCAGAGACAACAACAAATAATCCTGGGTGGGTGGGTAGACAGGAGGGGGAAGGAAAAGAATCTGATTTCCAGAATAGCCTCACTGTAATAATATCTGCTTCTCAGCACAAAATTAGGGAGACATGAAAAAACAAAGCAGTCAAGTATGGCCATACACAGAAATGAGGCAGTCCATAGAAACAAAGAGGAAGCCAAGACGTTGGCTGGTATTAATAGACAAAGACACTAAATCCACTTTTATAAATTTATTCAAAGATATAAAGAAAACCATCCCTAAAGAATTAAGGTGCAAGAACAATTTCTCACAAAAAATATCAACAAAGAGACAAAAATTATATATAAAGAAACAAATAAAAATTCTAGGTTTGAAAAATACAATAATGGAAATAAACAATTCACTAGAGGGGCTCAGTAACAGATCTGAACTGTCAGAAAAATCAACAAACTTGAAGATAGGTCATTTGAGATTATGCTGTCTGAGGAACAGGGAGAAAAAGAATGAAGAAAAATGAATAAAGCTGCAGGCACCTGTGGGACACCGCCAAGTATACCAACAAAGAGATGATGAGTCTCAGAAGAGAAAAAATAGAAAGGAGCAGAAAGAACAATTTGAAGAAAGAAAGACTAAAAACTTCTCAATTTTGTAAAAACATTAATCCACACATCTAACAAGCTAAATAAATTTCAAATAAATTCTAAATAAATTCATAACCAAACAATCAAAAACCAAAGACCAATTTTTTGTTTTTTTGAGACTTAAGCAATAAGTATGTCTAAATTTATATAGATAGCATTTTGCACAAGTTCTTTTTAAGCGTAAAGTAACATATTTATCACTGAAATGCTGAAAACCTAAGTCAGAATGAAAATAATTCCTTCACTTCCTGAAAGAAATATATCACTATTAATATTCCGGAGTATGTTTCTTAAGAATCCTTTTTCCTCCATGAATAGGTTTTGATGACTTTTTAAAAGAGCATGGCTATAGTCAAACTACACAAAAAATTTTTTTTTTAAACTAACATCATTTCATCAGAAAAAAATTTATTTATTTAACATTTCATATTTATTTAATAAATGTTAATAAAGCCAATTAGAAGTCCCTGCTGGAAAAGAGTAAATCTGCTAAAAAATAAATTGTGTGAGGCTGAGGGAAGTTCAATATCAATATTTAGGACAGATGCCCCCAAGGAGTGGGTTACTTCCTGCTGAGGAAGCTGTTTTTCATAATTGTGCAAGAAGTAAGACAAAGTGGGGGCGCCTGGTGGCCCAGTTGGTTAAGCATCAACTCTTGATTTCGGCTCAGGTCATGATCTCATGGTTCGTGAGTTCAAGCCCTGTGTTGGGTCTCTGCAGACGTGTGGAGCCTGCTTGGGATTCTCTCTCCCTCTCTCTCTGTCCCTCTCCCACTTGCTCTCTGCCTCTCTCAAAAATAAATAAATATTTAAAAAGAAAAAAAAAGTAAGAGAAAGTATTTAATGCCTGTAAGTATAGAAGAGATGCTCACTTAAAAAACATCTCTGCTGTTACAGAAATTTTTCTTTTTAATGTGGTTTTCTTTATATTTTTTTAAATATTTATTTTTGAGGATACTCATTAAGTATTTTTAAAATATTTATCTTGAGTGCACATATGCAAGAAAAAAAGGGAGAGAGAATCTGCACTGACAAGCTCCTTGCTGTCAGTGCAGAGCCCAACATAGGGCTTGAACTCCAAAATCAAGAGTTGGAGCTTTAACCAACTGGCCCATTCAGGTGCCCCAACAAGGTTTCTGATATATTTTTTTAAAGACAATTTGAGAGTGGGTTTTGGCCTCTCTGCTGACTTCTCTACCATAATGAGAAGGCATCCTCTAGATACTCCTGAGCCAACTGTTTCTGTTCTAGTGCATACGAAATTCGAAGGCTTTCATAATTTAAATTATCCCTGCTACCAACTGACCATAATGGACTAGAATTCCTCATGAGATTTATTAATGCCTGCATGTTTCTAAATTTCTATATTTAAAATAGGAAATGCTCACAAAAATCCTCCTGCATGTTTTAAAAATAAACTTAACATCCTTCATTTGATCATTCTCTTTCTACTTCTGAACATATATTTTACAGAAAACTATAAAATTATTGTTAAAAAATTAAGATTTCAATGAATTTTATAATACTAAACAATGTCCTTCACATAGACTTCAATCAGATTAAACAGGTAAAATTATTACTCACAAATAATTGGATATCCATCCCTGCTAGCACAGGCCGCTGCTAATATTCTTCCGTTGTGAGAGAAAGCAAGACAAAAACATCCTCGTTCTCCTGCATTTAGCGAGAAGAGATGCTTGTTTGGGATACGGCAAGCCTAAAACACATATATTAAGAAAAATAAGAAACATTAAAATATGAAGGCGAGTTATTAATTCAATTACTGTAGTGGTAGCGCTTTATTTTTTTTTAAAGTCCCTTTACTGTGATGCAGGGAAAGAGAAAAGCAAGTAAACAGAATGATGGAAAACTATAGTAAATTATTTTACTTCCTACAAAGGGAATCAGTTTTCCATAAAATGAAGTCAGTGTATACTCCATATCTGACTAGTACTTAATTCACCTAAACTATGAAGCAAAATGTCATTATCTGGTACTCTAAAGCTGTCACTACTGCACGAAAGATACAGCCAAGCACACACACACAAAAATGTCATATCACATCTTTATTCCATGACACCTAATAAGTGATATTTGCTGAACCACAACTTGTTCTGAGACCACAAATGCCCTACAGGGCTTAGCTTAAGCCCAGGATGTATGAATTGCTCATTTCCTCTCTCTTTTTCTCTCTTAAAATAATCATCATTTGTGGCTGCCTTCCAAAGGGAATTTTCAAAGTAATCAATCACCCCCTGTTGGTTTCTTCTTCACTTATTAAAATTTCTTCATTAATTTTTATGAATTACCAAATGATCCCAAAACTTTCCATGTATATAGTATCTACTATAGAAAATACTACTTACTTTTATTTGCCCTAATTCTGCTTCTTCCAAACTTTAGTGAGCCTTAGTTCTTATTATTTTGAAAGTTCAATTAAACATATTCTGGACCCTTACTATATGCTATGAATGTGGTACTTCCTCACAAATGTCTTTTCATATGTTCATCACAGCACCCTGTAAGTAACCATTATTTTTATATATAGCTAATAAGGATTATTCAGAGGGTCAGGTGCAGCTTGCTGGGCCTAGTCAAAGACTATTAGTTCAAGAGGCTGCCTTCTGGAGAGGTACCAGGTGCTTCACAAGTAGCACCAAGATACAGTAACATTATCAGCAGGCAGCATTATAAGCAGCTACTAGGAAAGTGGAATATTCAACAGACATTTCTTAGGTGTCAACAATGTACTGGACACCATGCTACCCATCTTTCCCCTCCATCATCCACATGTTTTAGAAAAGGGAGGGAGATAAAAAAAAGACAATAAAAATTGAAGGAGATATCAGGAGATTTTATAAGCACTTGCTGCTGCTCCTAGAGCAGGGGGTGCAGTTGAGGAAATCTCTGACTCACTGCCAAAGTATAAAATCACTGAAGCTACTACCATTTTCTTTGTATGCCTGGGGTTTGGCACTGTACTCAGAAGAGGCACTCATTTAATAATAAAGGTTCTCGATATCTTTGACTCTTCCCTCTTCCTTACTACCTCATCAGTCATTAAATTATGCTGGTTTTTGTTCTATCTTTCACTTGAATTCATCTCTTATTTTTCATTTTTGTCACCATTACCCCAAGGTTAGACCCCTTTCCCCTCACACATTAATGACTACACTGCCATGTAGTAGGTCTCTCTCATTCTCATACTTTCATATTATCATACTTTTCTCCTACCCCAAAATTTTCCATTACTTCCGACATTCCACACAGTCAAGTATTGGGCTACCATTAGAGATACTCCACATCGTGGGCCCAATCAATCATACCACTTTATCTCTTATGTAAACTCTGGTTTCCTGCCAGCCAGTTTTTAAAAATATTTACTTATTTTGAGAGAGGGAGGAAGAGAGAGCACCAGGGAAGGGCAGAGAGAGATGGAGAGAGAGGTGCCCAAGCAGGCTCTGGTCAGCACAGACCCTGATATGGGGCTCAATCCCACGAACTGCAAGATTATGACCTGAGCAGCAATCAAGCGTCAGACGCTTAACCAACTGAGCCACCCAGGTGCCCACTCCAGCCTGCCAAATTTTTGAGTGCATGAGTACAAGAGGTCCATTCCCATTTATTTACAATTTTGACCCCATATGAAACACCCTTCCCTGTCCTTCTTCACCCGCCCCTAACTTGGTTGCCTTTAAAGGCTATCTCAAGCTCCACCAACCTGTTGAATAAACCCTTCTTCCACCACTGCAGCTCATCTTCTTCATATCTGCAATTCTCAAATTGTTTTATATCAGGATGGCTTCAGTCTTAAAAGAATTTTGAAGACTCCAAAAAACTTCTATGTGGATATAACCACATTTATCATATGATAAATTACAATTGAGAAATTTAAAGAACATTTCTTAATTCATTAAAAGCATAACAAATGGCTAACCTACGAAATATCAACATAAAGATGTTAGTCATTTTATGAAAAATAACCACATTGAATGGAATTGTTCCAAACTTTCGAAAATCTCTTCAAAATCTGCTTATTATCTGCTTAACAAAAGACAGCCGAATTTTCATAAGTGCTTCTGCAGTCACTCTCTTGTGCTATCACATATCTCTTTGTCTCTGGAAAACTCCAGTGTATACTTAAGTGAGAAGAGAACAAACGTGAAAAAAAGACAAACTAAATCATTATGAAATAATTAGAATCATTACAATTCTATTATGAAAATTAGTTGACTTTGTAGACGCCCTGAGAGGGTCTCAGGACTTCCAGCAGTTCCCAAATCACACCTTGAGAACTGCCGATCTATGCAATTATTTGCATAACTGCCTTTCCTCAAGACTTCTCTGCAGTATACCTGACAGCGAACAACACTGCAACTGTCTCCTACATTCCTAACTGATGTTGAAGGTCTCCAAGGGCACAGTCTAATGTTATTCTCCCCATATTATTATGTTCAAAGTATTTTATTTTTTTTTATTTTAGAAAGAGAGTGTAAACCAGGGAGAGGGTCAGAGGGAGAGGGGTGTGGGGGAGGGGGGGAAGAGAAAGAGAGAGAGAGAGAGAGAGAGAGAGAGAGAGAGAGAGAGAATCTTGAGTGGGCTCTATGCTCAGTGTGGAGGCTGATGTGGGTGGGGCTCAATCCCATGACCCTGGGATCATGACCTGAGCCAAAATCAAGAGTCAGATACTCAACTGACTGACTACCCAGGTGTCTCATATTCAAACTATTTTAAAATGACTTTAAGACGTATTTGTGAAATGGGCCTCAAAAAGAAAATGTGATGCAAAATACAGGAAGTAAAAAAGTGTAAGAAGGTAATCATTGTTTTTTTCCCTAACATTTATTTTTGAGAGAGAGAAACAGAGAGACAGAAAGAGTGCAAGCAGGGGACGGGCAGAGAGAGAGCTCGGAAACACAGCATCTGAAGCAGGCTTCAGGCTCTGAGCTGACAGCTCAGAGCCTAATGCGATGCTCGAACTCATGAACCATGAGATCATGACTTGAGCCGAAGTCGGATGCTTAACTGACTGAGCCACCCATCACCCCAATTCTTATGTATATACTAAATATTTGGATAAATTAAGATTTTGGATAAACTGCACCTGGCAATGTCTCAGATGTATAAAATGAACCACTCTACTCTTTGTGGAAATAAGTAAGAGATCTGCAAAACTGTATCAACATTTCTAGCTACTGCAAAATATGCTAACCAGGAAGGAAAACATTAATAAAAGTGTAAATACTACTCAATTTGTGGTAGAAAAACATACATGTACCTCAGAATATTTATATTTTAATAACAGTATTTGGAGATAAAGATTTTTAAAGAGCTGGTTACATTAAAATGAGGTGTGTGTTTGGGGTGCCTGGGTGGCTTAGTCGGTTAAGTGTCCGACTTTCGCTTAGGTCATGATCTCGTGGTTCGTGGGTTCAAGCCCCGCATCGGGCTCTGTGCTGACTGCCGGCTCAGAGCCTGGAGCCTGTTTCAATCTGTGACTCCCTCTCTCTCTGACCCTCCCCTGCTCATGCTGTCTCTGTCTCTCTCTCCTAGAAATAAATAAAACATTAAAAAAAAAAAAATTTTTTTTAAATAAATAAATAAATAAAATGAGGTGTGTGTTTGACTGTTTTTCTTAGGGTGGGGTCCTAATCTACTATGACTACTGTCCTTACATGAAGAACAGACACCAGCAATGTATACACACAGAGAAGAGACCATTAAGAGGCAGCAAGATGGCAGCCATCTGCCAGCTGAGGAGAAAGGCCTCAGAGTAAACCAATCCTTAACCCTGGGACTTCAGCCTCCAGAGCTATGAGGAGTAAGCTTATGCTGTTTAAGCTCCCCAGTCTGTGGTACATCTTTACGGCAGCTCCAGCCAACTGATAAAACAAACCCAGGCCCCTGTACAAAGAACCTAAGATAATGCTTGCTTTTATTCTTATTTTTTTAATGTTTTTATTTATTTTTGAGAGAGAGAGCATGAGCAAGAGTAGGGGAGGGGCAGAGAGAGAGGAACAGAAGACTGAAGCAGGCTCTGCGCTGAAAGCAGTGAGCCCAATGTGGGGCTTGAACTCACAAACGGTGATATCATGACCTGAGCCTAACGCTTAACTGACTGAGCCACCCAGGCACCACAGATAGTGCTTTTATAAAGCACATGATATGCACTCTATTATTAGTTGTCAAGTGAATTAATGGAAAGACAAGACTGCAGTGAAAAACAGAGAGTTTTAAGTAGCAAGCTAGTTACACTCAGATATGTTGGAGCTTTTAAAGTAAATAAGGACACCTCTAAATGAATGGAGAATAATCCAGCACTGCACCTGCCCAGGTAGTCGTTTCCACTTCACCACTTCCTTGGAATCTTCTAGTCCAGGTTCTGCATCTAATGAACTGGTCTCGTTGTATCGTTCACAGTGTACCGGTTTACCTTTTTCCTCCTGAAGAGCCACCACAGAACAGTAAGATGGCTTTATCTAAATATGCATAGAAGATTAGAAAATGTAAATATTAAGTTAATCTTTTTATCTTTTCTAGCACACAGCGTTTCTTAAATACTGAAACAAATAACATGGAAATGTTTTCAAAATGTAACCCAGAAAAACATTCTACTTTTATGTACATTATTCTAAATCAGATGAAAGGAGCTTGAAATTATAGTTCTATAAAACCAAAAAGACTAAAAGTTGGGAGAAAAAAAACAGAACTCCAAGGGTTGCATGAAATGTTTTTACAATTCTATCCATTTGTTTTGCCTACATAACACCTTAATACATAGCTGCTGAAAGTACTTTTATATTCTAGCTATCTATTAAGATAATTATAGAGACCTTATCTTTTCAGGAATGGAAAATGTTACCAGTCAATTTCAACAGAGAACATATATTTATATGTGCTATTAACTTACACATTCTGGACCTTTCAATCCTCTTACAGTCACATACAATGTTGAAGGGTAACGATTTCTTGGGTGTTTTGACCACCATTCAAAAACCTCAACAACATTTAACTGGGATCGAGTCTTAGTAGGTGGGTAATACAGCTGCAAACGAAGTTTTGAATTGATGTTTACATTCCCATTGGCTCCGAGAAGCTTAAAACAAAAATTCAAATAAAATATTACTTTCACTGAAAATAAATATACCCAGTTAAGCAACAGTACAAGTCAAAAACTCATTAAAAAAAAAGATTAATATGGCATGATGAAATTCCTTAGATATATAAAGCAAAGAATACTGACACAGTTGGTTATACACAATTCCAGATCATTTCAACAAAAGGTAACCCAACCACCTTTTAAAATATTTTCTTGCTAGCTGTCTGGCCCATACAACTTCAGGCTGTTGATAAAGCATTTACATTACTGTGTCAGATGTTACTTTGCACAAAGGAGGTAATCAAAATATCTGTGTTTGCAATAACAATGATGAAATTAAAATACATGTTATTTAAACACAGAAACAAATTTTCCATTTGTTTAGTATCAGTTTTTTAATGGGAACATTTTAATGTTTTAATTTTCAAAAAGTCAAAACCACTTTCAAAGAGTAATTACATAAACTCATTCAAGGCATTCATAACCTTTAAAAAATATTTTAATCTACCTTCTTAAAAAAGTTTATTCAATAAAAAACTTATTAAAACAACTTATATTTAAACTATGTAAATAGAGATGCTTATGAGAAAAATAAAAATCTTACCAACTCAAAATAGGCCCTCTTTCACTAGACCATGACTCTAAGTAGAAAATGTCTTTTTTTTTTAAGTTTATTTATTTATTTTGAGAGAGACAGAGACATAGAATATGAGCAGGAGAGAGAATCCCAAGCAGGTTCCACACCATCAGCGCAGACGCCAACAGAGGGCTCAATCTCATGAACCCTGAGATCATGACCTGAGCCAAAATCAACAGTCAGAAGCTCAATCAACTAAGCCACTAAGGTGCCCCAGAAAATGTCTTTGTTAACTGTTGTGTCCTCTACAAATTAGGAGTAGAAACAGTTTGAAGCTTTTGCAGCAGTTCAGGTAGAACATGAAGGTGACAAACTAAGAGAACAGCAACTGAGTGCGGGGAATATACTGAGTAGCTATTCCTGACTGCTGCAACTTGGAAAGGAGAAAAAGGGAAGATTCAAGAAAGGCTTGAAGGCAGTGCTGTCCAACAGAACTTTCTGTGAATATTCTATATTTGGGGTCCCCAACACACTATACATTAGTCATATATTGTTACTGAGCACTTTAAGTGTGGCTAGCACAACTGTGGATGTGGAACTCAATTTTTATTTATATTTAATTTTAACTAATTAATTTGAATTCAAATAGCCATGTGATCTGTGGCTACCAAGATGAACAGTGCAGCTCTAAGTCTGTAAACATGGGAGCCTGGGCTGACGGCAACAACACTACCAACTGAAGTAGCAGACATGGAAGGGATAAAGAATATAGGTAGGACGTTCAGACTGTGGGACTCTGAGATATTTATGGGTAATCCAAGTTGAAATGTCTGAAATCCGAGGCAGAGGTAAGAAAAGTGGGCCTAAGAAGAGTAGATTAAAGCTGAAACATGAGTAGGATAGACATTAAAAAGTTAAGTAGAAGACCATGAAGGAAACTAAAGGACGGGTATTGGGAAAATCAAGGAAACCAAGATAACAAAGGTTCAAGAGAGTGATGTATCAAACACACACAGGCATGATAAAACAAACAAACAAAAAACCCTGAAAGTGTTCACTCAGTAATGTGGCAAACAGAAATCATTGGTGATTTTTCAGAGATGTTTTCATAGCTAAAACAAAATCCAGATTGTAGTCTGTTCAGGAATGAGGCATCAATAAAGAAAGAGAGCTGACAAAAATATAGCCCATCTCATCCCTAGCCTTCTAGGAAAGAATGCAAAGTCAGTGGAGTTCATAAGCTGAGAGTTGATGTTATGATATATTGGGGTGAAAAACAGTTTCAAGAGTAATAGAGTTGTTCAGTAATTAAATATTAAGCCATCAAGACTCCCTTCATAAGTCCTACTCCTGGCTGAAGCTTATCATAAGGGAATAATATTTTAAGGAGATATTATTCCCCAGCTTCTAAATCAAACTTTCTATAGGTTGTTTTAATACTCACCAGACAATCTAGTTTGCACCAGTATGACGACTGGCCTGCATAAATGAGTAAGATCCAGCCAAGATCCTGTCATTATGGTTACTACATAATGCACAATGTGAATAAATAAGGCTTTATTGAATTTAAAAGAATAGTAATACATATGTGCTAAATGAACTGAAAGTATCTCTAACTGAGAATTGATATCTGAGCAAGGATCCTCCGGGGGTTTATTTGGACCACTGTAGAAACTTTGCAATTTCCTAGGACATTCCTGGAACCAATGGTACAGGTATTAACACATTTAAATTTTAACTTGATTCATGCTACTTTCAAAGATGGATTTTTCCTAGTTACTGTTACCAGACATTTGTTCCTTTTCTCAACAGACATTCACTGAACACTTTCTGTGTGCCACTAATATGCTGGGAGCTAGTGATAATTATGCAAGAGAGAGTTTCAAGAGAGTGATATATCAAATGCAAAGAGATATGGTAAAATAAGGACCAAAATACATTCAACAAATTTAATTTCGAAAAAGAAGTCCCTGGTGACTCTGAAAAACTTACAGTCTAATGAAGGAAATACCTAAGTGTTATAAGAGAGGAACTACATGGAATACTTTCCCCTTTATACGGGTGGAGACAGGAGAATTCTTGATTTGCCATTTCCGCCAATGGCGTAAAATGGATAAATAAAAATCTATATAACACTTAAAGGGAAAAAGGATATGAGACATTATTGTTTCCCCAGTGCAGTTTGTAGTAAATACTGTAGTTCTGCACAAATCTTAGCATAAAAGGAATGGAAGTGCTTTCTTAGTAAGACCAGACAATAACAATATTTACTATGCGAAAGTAACCTTTTTTGGTTTGTTTGGCTTTTGCATTATTTTTTGCTCTAAATCAGTTTGGCGGGGGGGGGGGGGGGGGGGGGGGGCGCGGGTGTATAAAAAAGTTTTAACAGGTTACAAAAGGGTGATTTTTAAAAGGTACACTGGACCAAGTGAATCTTACATCCATTTTAGAATAACTCCCTCTCGGAGTGCCTAGATGGCTAAAGTTAAGCATCTGACTTCAGCGCAGATCATGATCTCGTGGTTTGCGAGTTTGAGCTCCTTATCAGGCTCTCTGCTGTCATGACAGAGCCTGCTTAGGATCTTCTGTCTCTTTGTCTCTGTCTCTTCCCCACTCGCACTCTCTCTAGTTCAAAAATAAACATTAAAAAAAAAAAAAACCCAAATAAACAGAATAATCCCCTCCCACAGCCCATCTGGCTGCCCTGTAGCAGACAGTCAGACTTTACCTCTTCTATAGTCTCTCTAACCCCCAATGTGGATTAAGTGCCTTACCTGGGTTGTCACAGCATCCACTCTGTAGCACATAATCACATAAGTAGTATGTTTATACAGAAACTGAACTGGAGGGTATGGGCAATGTCTAATTTACCTAAGAATGCTCTGGATTCAGCAGAGTGCCTGGCATTTCACAGACATTTAAAGATTTATTGAATGGATAGATGCAAAAATGAAAAAGTCTTATAAATTATACTTAATAGGTAAACTTCAAGACATTTTAGAATTCATTTATATTTGAAGTCAGAAATAAAGGATACCAGAAATAAAAGAATTATAAAATTAAAATTCCTCTTTTGTAAAAACCAACCTACCCATGTCTTTCATCTCTGCTGAAACACTCTAGTTAAAAACATTGTGATTTCCTACCAAGACTGTTAAGAATTTTTAACCTTAATCTTCCAGTACATATATCTGCACCCTTTCAAATCATCCTCCACCAAGCAAAGTATTCTTTCTAAAATATAAATCAGATTATTTGGCCTTTTTTTAAAAAATCCTATAATGGCTTCCCATTGCTCTTTAGAATTCCATAATGGCTTTCTGTTCCTATAATGGCTTCAAAGACCTTGCATAAAGACTCTGTCTACCTCAACAATCTTTCTGGACACTATTTCCGCCCTCAGTCTCTGTCCGCCAATCTCAGTGGCCTTTTGGTTATCTGAGTGTATCTCGCTCCTCCCAATATCACGGTCATTATATCAGGGTCATTGTACCCTCTATCTATCTACAACTCCTCTCCCACTGCCACCATCTGGCTAATATTCATGTTCAACCTCTCTTTCCTAGGAAACCTTTCTGTGACCTCCACAAAGTATTTACAAAAATTGCAATAAATGACAAATTATATAATCAATTGTTTTACATCTGCTTTTCTTGCTAGAAAATGAAGTCTACAAGGTAAAGGAGTTTATCTTCTTTGTTCACAGACTAGAACAGTTGCTGACACACAGACAGAGTTTAATAAATATCTTTTAAGTTGAATAAATGATGGCAGGGCTGTTGTGTATCTTTTTCAATACACAGAACCAAACAGTGTGTCTGGCACACACTACACACTCAATGAATATTTAAGAATCTGATTGAATATGATTTAACCTTGAATTAACAATTCTTCTCCACTCCAATCTTACCTTACATCACAACTCCCTACATGAAAGCAAAGTGACTTGGCGAAATGCAGCCAATCAGATTTGAAGATGGTTTTTAAAGCATTCAAAACGGGTGGAAAACATACCTTGAGAAATGCCCAGGCAATTTTCCGAAAGCCGCATTCTTGGTTTTGAATTTCAGAGTTATTTCTAATTTCATCCATGCTTAAGAAATCAAGAATCTGTAAATAAGTACAAAAAAATTACTTCAAAGAATACTAGCCTACATGAAATTTAATATTTTCTAGTAAAATATTATTGAAATGAAAAGAATAACTTGTATACTTCAAAGATGTTTTCTTCACATGGAAGAGAAGCATTACGTATTTCATTTACCTTTAAGTTAACTCATTCTGTTGATGAGGGTCCATTTTTTTGATCACTTTATATTTTATTAATAAATCATTTATTAAGATTTATTTCACATCCAAGAACAAGTATTAAATTATCTCAAATATAGCCTAGGCACAAATACACCAAGCACAGAATTCTTAGGCTTTGACTGATTGATTGATTGATTGATTGACTGATGTCTGAGAGCGACTTCAAAAGACAGTTTAAAAAACTTAAGATCTTATCTCTGGGTCCTTCCCTGGATCACCTTCCTGAAGTTGGGGACTTTTTTTCTTTAAATATGTGCTGTCATTAGGCTTCTGAAGAGGATTTCTTTCATATCTCCATCCTGTCTAGATGTTCAAACTCATGGATTTGGAACCAAGCTGCCACAGACACTATCAGTACTCTCGGTACTTGTCAGAGATGATCACTTTGAACTAACTGGTGTTTCTTAAAAGCTCGGCTGAGATAACAAATCTTTATACACTGCTTAAAAAATAATGATTTTAAAGACTTCTGACAAATACCAAATTGTCCTCAATAAACACTTAAAAAGCTGAAGTCAAAAACTGTTTTGTTTGACAATAACACAAAAAAAAGTCATAATCTAACAACCTTTCTTAAATCTACAAATCTTACTAAAATGAATGTGAATGAACATTATAACAAATGAAAAATTTCTATAATAAAGAAAAAGTTCCTTGCCATACAAGTTACATTATTGTTTAAAAAAATCACAGCTTTGTATATATCACCAACATAATCACAGATGTAAATAGTGGAATATTCATATCATGGACATATATAGATCATCTGAAAGTTAAAGACCAGAAAAACGTGTAATTCTACAAATCAGTCACTGTCACACCTTGCTGTTTCACTGCTAAAATTCCCCATTTTGCTTAAATGGAAAGAGAGATTTCTCCACTTCCCTGGGTGTATGGAGAGATGACATGAAGAAGAGAAATGTGTATTTCAGGTTTAAACCCCCTTCAAAAACAAATAACCTACACTTAAAATCAGGAGTAAATTTGAGGAACTATTTCCTTTACACTCTGAACCATGATATCCTTTGCTGGAAAAAATTAGAACAAGTCAGCTCAAAGGTCATCTATTCCATAAAATTTTCACTGACTTCTCTGACCCTGTAGTAACCCTCCACATCGAAGGAGTTCTACTTCATCTCGGTTATATATATCACTGTATTAGTTATGTGACCTGTATTACGTTCATCTTTTTTTCTCTTGGTTGTATATAAACTCTTAGAGAGCCTGATATGGTTAAATGAGTTTACGTTTTGTAAAATGAGTTAAAAATGGAGGACTGTACAGATACAGATTACATTCATCACCTCAGTTTACAGTCATGGTGCTGCTATAAGAATTAAATAATAGAGTGAGTTAAATGGCTAATTACTTGCACTAGCAAATGCTCAGCCAACTTTGCTATTATTCAATTTCTCACATATCTCTGTAGCATATTACAAATACTAAATCCTGGGGATTCAATCCTCACACTACTTTGCTGCATTATTAAACTACTAAAAAAAGCTTACATTTATGCCATTAAAATATTAACCAAACATAGTTTAAATTGCTCTATTCAATCATACCTCAAAAAACAAGATGACCTTAGGGTTCTCATCAGAATCTTGAAGCAAATAGGGGAAGTTTTCATTAAATATAATTTGTTCTTCCCACTCTGGAAGTCTTGATTTTAACTGTTTAAAATCATATGGCTGAGTCATAATAGGAAGAATGTAATCCACACTCTCTTTTTCATAGTAAGATGAAACAGGTCGTTCACTGTTCAAAAACAGATACTTTCATTAACACAATTCTTTAAGATAATTTTGAGATGAGAAAAAAATCTAGTGCTCAAAGTAAAAAGATAATGAATAGTCATGGTATAGGATGAAAAATTACTTTTGTTGTCCACTGAGAAAATTACAAATTTTATGAGACTTAGAAGTTGTAGTACCCTACTATTATATTTATATGCTATTGATTGGTTTCATGAAATCATTTTATTACAGAAATATAAAGCGGAAGTTCAGCATACAGAGCTAGAATAAAGTACGAGTTTGTGATAAAATAGTACACATTTAAAGAAGAAAATGAGTACAATAGGGCTGCAAACCTTTTGAGGTATGTCATATTTTTGTATGTCCTAAGACAACTGAATGACCTTTTTGATAATCTTCATGTTTCTCATCCCTGTCATTTTTCCAAGCAAATTAATTTTTTGAATTCTAGTATAGTCATTTATACTACTGTGCTTTTCATTTGCAACCTTCAAGCATATATAAGCTATAGAAGTAATATTAGAAAAAAAAAGATTAAATTCAAGATTCATTTCCCTCCTATGAAGCCCATGTAACATACTAACTTCAAAAGAAAATCATTATGTTTAACAATTAAAGCACTTACAGTGCAACACACAAATGATTTGCACTGCAAGTTAAATGCCGTAAGTTAGTCATTAAGTTTGATAGACGTTCTCTCAACTCTCCTCCACTTAAAATCAACCACTGGGGACACCTGGGTGGCTCAGTCAGTTGGGAGTCTGACTTCAGCTCAGGTCATGATCTCACAGTTTGCGAGTTACAACCCCACGCTGGGCTCTGTGCTGACAGCCCAGAGCCTGAAGCCTTCGGATTCTGTGTCCCTCTCTCTCTGTCCCTTCCCTGCTCACACTCTTTCTGTCTCTAAAAAATAAATAAACGTTAAAAGAAAATTTAAAAATCAATCATTGGATTAACATATGTTCCCCATTTCTTCTATAAAACATAGTGATCAGTATCAGTGGTCGATGAACACTGACAACTAGTAAGTAAACTATTCTCTAATGCAAATCCTTAGCTCTATTTCCATTGACTTTCAATGGTAGAAAATAGGACTTCTACTGCAGACAGTATCAAATTCAAGAACTGACTGTGCAATTAAAAAAATTACCTATCATGTTTCTTGACATATTGACCAGTATTCTCATCAATCACATGAATTTTTACCATCGGGTGAGAAATCATAAAATCAGATTTAAGCCGATCAGTGCGGTGAATGTAAACTCCCAAGACAAGATCATCATCAAGCAAACATTTGGGATAGACAGGACTATCTCGGTTTGTAACTTCATGAACACCATCACCATCAATGTCTTCTTTATCATCTGAAACTACACACGGAAGAAAATCTACATTATAATGAACTGTTCCCATAACAATATAGCAACAATATACACTCAATTTATATATAACCTAATCTTTACAACCCCATGATTATTTGCCTTTGTAACAAAGTAACTTCAAAGGAAAAGAAAAAGCCAGACAGTAGCAGATTACACTCTAAGAATGAGATATTACATCTATTAATGCATTAAAATAGAGTGAGGAATGTTTCTTTTTTTATCCCTAACAAGAACCATGAACACAAAAATAAAATAATGAGAACTAAAGAGAAAAAAGTGATTTTTATCTAGGTATTTTCTAAGTGGAATATGTATCTCTCAATTAATTTATAGCTGTAATTTCCTCTTGGTAGGATGTAATAGGTCAATGTTTCCGGTAACAGCAACTTGAAAAAGTCAAATGAATTACAAAAACCTTATTTTTAAAGGCATCAGAACAGTGCAGAAACAATGTATAGCAGATGGATTAAAATTCCAGAAAAGGAGAATCAGTCAGTGATCAGCTGATGGACTGACAGCTCTTTTAGTCTGTGGGCACATTTGCTGATTCAGAGTGTATGCTGAGGATCTGGATTTAGCTCTGCAAAAAGTCACCACTGGGAGAAAGAGTACCAGGAAAACTTTTAGTGGTTGATGGGGCTACAGCTGTCATACTGGAGATCTGAAGAGCCTCAAACACATAGCTAATTTTCCTCCACAAACTGAACTGAGAGACTAAAGAAGTATGAAATCTCCCAGTCATGTGGTACTAGGAAACAATGGCCCACCACAGGGAGAAGCCTGAAACAACAGGCAAAATAAAGCCCTAGAGGGAATGGTCATTTTCTACCTACAGCCCACTTTTTACCTGGGGTCACTTACCAATTCTGGGTGCAGCTAGAGGTTGAGAATCCAGGTGTGGCCCCTAGCAGAAGGCCCCAACTGGGGGACAGAGAAGCCAGCAGAGATTCTGAGTTTCACATGGGGCTGGAGTGACAAAATCAGAAACTTGAGGGGCCTCAAACACATGGCCAGTCTACCCCTCAAGATATCTGCCAAATTTTGAAGCTGCATGGGGCTAAAGGCTAAATGACTATGTTGACAATCTCAGAAGGGCAAAACTTAATCTCCCACAGTCTTTTAGGCTGAGGAGATAAATACTTGCCAGATTCTTAGATCAAAACTCCTGGAAGGCCATATCCTAGGAATGGGGCAAATCAGAGATAATGTCTACCAAAACTACAACCCAGCCTTGACCTAGCTCAATTCTGATGATTAAAATCAGTTTCCCACCCTATATGCCCAAGAGAGTAAAGAGGAAACTCTCTCTAGTAGGAGATAAAATCAGCTGGAGCCTCTAGCATTCCACACACAATATCCAGTGTATAACAGAAAGTTACTAGACATAAAAGAGGCAAGACTATATCACCAAAAACCAAGAGAAAAAAAAGAAAGCAGAAGCTGACCCACAGATGAACAGACTGGAGTTAACAAACAGGAACTTTAAATAACTATGATTAATATGCTCAAGAAAATAAAGGGAAAGATGGGTTAAAATGAAAACTTTCTAGAGAATTGGAGTGTATAAAAAAAAAACAGGCATTTTGGAGCTGAAAAATAAAGCATCTGAAATTAAGAACTGGATATATAGATGTGTTTAACAGCATACTGGATACAAAGAAAGACATGATTAGTGAAACAGAAGAAAGACCTATACCAATACTCAAACTGTAGCATAATGAAAAAAATTTAAAAAGAATATGCGGAAAAACACAAGAAAGATGTAGATACACACACACACACACACATATATAATCTAGATTATATAAATTTATACTCTAGAAAAGGAAGAGGGAATAGTGAAGAAGCTATCTTCTAAAAAATTCTGACCAGGAATTTTCCATAACTGTTGAGTGATATCAACTGGTAAACTCTAAGCAGAGTGAATTCCAACAAACCCATATTTAGGTATAATGTGATAAAACACTGAAATCAAAGAGAAAAAGAATATCTAAAGGTAAGTCAAGGGGGAAAAAAGCCATAATCCCACTAATGGGACATAAATAAGACTACTGTCAGAAATGAGGGAAGACAGAAGACAACTGCGTGATTTCTTTAAAGTGCTAAAAACAAAAAACAAACAAACAAAAACCAATCTGCAACCTAAAATTCTATACTAGCAAATAGGCTTCAAAAATGAAGGTAAAGTGGGGCCCCGGGGTGGCTCAGTTGGTCAGGCACTGGATTTTTGATCTTGGCTCAGGTCATGATCTCATGGTTTGTTGAGTTCAAGCCCTGTACTGGGCTCTGTGCTGATAACACAGAGCCTGCTTGAGATTCTGTCTCTCCTTCTCTCTCTGCCCCTCACCTGCTTGTGCACGCTCTCTCTCTTTCTCACACTCACTCAAAAATAAATAAATAAACTTAAAAAAAATGAAGGTAAAGTAAAGGAATTTTAACACAATAAAATTTGAGGGGATCAGGAGGCCTGTACTAAGGGAAATACTAAACTGAACTCTTCAAGCAAATTAAAAGTAAAAAAAAAAAATTGACATTAAAGAAAAAGTAAATTTGGGGGTGAGTATAAATATCAGCTGCATGAAATGGTCAATATATCAGCTGTGAAATTTAAAATATATGCAGAACTAAAATGCATGATAAGAAACCTATGAGGTGGGAGAGAGAGATGCAGAAAAAACACCTGGCAAAATCTGGATGGAATTAAACTATTTTAATGTTCTAGCAGTGTTGAGGAAGCCTATTTTGTTATGGAATTAATTTGTATTAGACTAGTAAGAATAAACTTCATGTTCTTGAGGGTAACAAATTGTGAAAGAATGTATAATTAACAAGTTAATAAAGGAAATAAAACTAAAAAAATTTTTAATGTTTATTTATTTTTGAGAGAGAGACAGGGCACAAGCAGGGGAGAGGTAGAGAAAGAGGGAAACACAGAATCTGAAGCAAGCTTCAGGCTCTGAGCTAGTTGTCAGCACAGTGCCCAATGCAGGGCTTGAATCCACGAACCATGAGATGATGACCTGAGCCAAAATTGGACACTTAACCGACTGAGCCACCCAGGCGTCCCAGGAAATAAATTTTTAAAATAACTTGAATAATTCAAAAGAAGATAAGGAGAAAAAGGAACATAAAACAGGTATATTATACAGGAAGCAAACAATGAGATAATAAATATAAGGACACAGAAAGATTGCAAACAAGAGGGGGCTTTTTGCTTTTTTCTAAATTGCCTTCACATTTATTGAGGATGATCCCAAGATGATGATCACAGGTTGGGGGCTGAGACACCACATGTTCTGGGGTGGGGGAAGAAAAGAACTGAAGGCACAAAGGAAATGAAGAGACATTATGACCCAAGCTAAGGGGGTGCAAAGTAGGCACAGGGAGGACACCTAGGAGGTGGCATGGAGGAGAAATAAGAGTAATGGCAACCTCTATCTAGACCTGGGGACCAGGAACCAAGCACAGGTCTGATAGCAAGTGGGCACCACCTGGCAGTGTGTTGTGAGTAATGGGGAAATGATAATGGGAAAAAACTGTATGATGCAAACTCAACCACTAGTAGATTTTGAGGGAAAAGAAATTACTAGAGATAAAAGGATACTGCAGAATAATTGCTCTTACAGACTGACTGCTTCTGTCCCCACAAGATTCATATGTTGAAATCCTAACTTCCAGTGTGACAGTACTAACAGCTGGGGCCTTTGAGAGGTGATTAGGTCATGAGTGTGGAGCCCTCATGGATGGGATTAGTGCCCTTACGAAAGTCTACAACCAGGAAAGGGATCCCCACCAGACACCAAATTTGTGGGTGCTTCGATCTTGAATTTCCCAGCCTCCAGAACTGTGCGGATAACTGTTTATTGCTTAAGCCATCCAGTCTAGGATATTTTGCTACAGCAGCCTCAGTGATTAAGATAACTTAGATGTATCAATTTGACAGGAAGATATAACAATACTAAACATGCATATATTCAATAACATAATTTCAAAATATATAAAGAAAAAACTAACAGAAATAAGAAGAAAACAGAAAAAAACAAAATTACAGTAGAAATTTTAATACTTAACAAATGACAGAATAATAAGGACAAAAAAATCAGGACGATCAGCTGGACACAAGAAACTTGATCTAACTACATACATAGAACACAGTGCCCAATGGCATCAGAAATCACATTTTTTTTTTCAAGTGCACATGGAATATTTACCAAATGGACTATAAGCTGGTCATAAAGAAAGGCTCAATAAATTCAAAAGATTGAAATCAATCACAGTATGTTCTCTGAAAACAATGGCAGATAGAAACGAAAACAAAAAGATAACTAGAAGATCACCAGCTGCCTGAGACTTAAACGGCATACTTCTGAAAAGAGTGATCGAAAAAATGTCTTCATTGAATGAAAATGAAGATGTATCAAAAATTTGTGGGATGCAGCTAATGTAATACTTCGATGAAAAGTTAAGGTCTTAAAATACATACAAAGACTGAAATCTTATTAAAATCTATCTTACAAAGCTTGAAATGAATAGCAAATAAATGCAGAATGAAGAACTAATAAAAATAAAATAATCAGAGGCACCTGGGTGGCTCAGTCGGTTAAGCATCCGACTTTGCTTCAGGTCATGATCTCGCGGTTCGTGGGTTCGAGCACTGCATTGGGCTCTGTGCTGACAGCTAGTCTGTGACTCCCTCTCTCTCTGACTCTCCCCTGCTCATCATGGTGTCTCTCTCTCTCTCACTCTCTCTCTCTGACTCTCCCCTGCTCATGCTGTCTCTCTCTCTCTCTCTGAAATAAAAACATTAAAAAAATTCTTAAAAAAATAAATAAAATAATCAAAATAGTACACAAATGTATAACAGATAAAAATCAAAGCTAAAGGCTGATTCTTTGAAAACTAAAAATCCTGAGACTTATCAAGATATCAAGAGAAAACAAATTACCAATATCAAGGGACACTCTTTCAGATGCTATCGAAATAGAAAATGCAAAAATTTGGATTAAATGGACAAAATCCTCAAGAAATACAGTCTCTCAAAGCTGACAGAATACAAAATATGAAGAGTAATATTATTAAAGAAACTAAATCAGATGTAAAATTCTTCCACAAAGAAATCTTGACCAAAAAGGCCTCTTCAGTAAATTCTCCAAACATTTATGGAAGCAAAAACACCAATTTATACAAATATTTCTAGAGAAGTGAAAAAGATGAAACATTTCCCAACTATTTTTGAGATCACCAAAACCTTGATATAAAAAACTCGGTATTTCAGGGCGCCTGGGTGGCTCAGTCGGTTAAGCGTCCAACTCCGGCTCAGGTCATGATGTCATTGTTCATGGGTTCAAGCCCTGCGTCAGGCTCTGTGCTGACAGCTAGCTCAGAGCCTGGAGCCTGTTTCGGATTCTGTGTCTCCCTCTCTCTCTGACCCTCCCCTGCTCATGCTGTGTCTCTCTCAGAAACAAATAAAACATTAAAAAAATTTTTAAAAAAACAAAAACTTGTTATTTCAACAAACGAAATGTACAAACCATTCTCTCTCAGGTCCCCAGATACAAAAATCCTGAACAAAGTATCAGTAAATCAAATCCAGTAACAGATTAAAAAGTAGAGAGAGAGGTAATACATTCTAACAAAGTAGGTCCCTCTAACCTCTGCCAGGTACACAAAGATGAGTTAATATTCAAATAACAATTAATCACATTAATAGAAAAAATGGTGAAAATTTATATGATCAAGTTGAAAAATACAGAAAAAGTACGTGATAAAATTCAATACCCATGATTTGAAAAAACTATTAGCCAATTAGAATAAAGGTAACTCATAAACTTGAGTTACGATACAGGGTATTTACAAAAAAACCTACAGTAAACATTACACTCAGTGGTGAATTAATGGAAACTTTTCCCCAAGGCTGGTAACAAGAAAAGGGTACCTGGTATTGCCACTTACTATTTAACACTATAATGGAAGTCCTCACCAGTGTATCAAGGAAAGAAAAAGGAGTAAGATACAAAGACTGAAAAAAGGTACAATGAAACGATCATTATTAATAGAAGATACGATTGTGTATGTAGAAAATTCAAAACAATCTATGGATATGCTCTTAAAATTACATTAATTTAGCAAGAACACTGGATACAATGTTAATTTTTTTAATCAATTCTATTTCTCTCTACATAGATTTATAAGCATGTACACACACACACACCAGCAACAAATAAGCAGGAAACAAAAATTTTTTTAAAAAATGCCATTTATGACAGCATTAAGAAACACCAAATATCTAGGAATAAATCTAAAGATAGACTCTCCTGAAACTTACAATATTACCAAGTTAAACTAGAGATGTAAATAAATGGAGGAGAATACCAATTTCATAAGTGGCAAGAATTAATACTTTATTTTTTTTTATTTTTTTTAAATGTTTTTTATTTATTTCTAGGGGAGAGAGAGACAGTGTGAGCAGGGGAGGGTCAGAGAGAGAGGGAGTCACAGACTCTGAAACAGGCTCCAGGCTCTGAGCTGGCAGTCTGCACAGAGCCCGACGCGGAGCTCGAATGCACGAACCACGAGATCATGACCTAAGCGAAAGTCGGAGGCTTAACCGACTAAGCCACCCAGGCGCCCCAAGAATTAATACTTTATAAAGATGTCAAGTAGATCTAGCAAGTTGTTAAATTGTAATTTTCTTCCAACTCTATATCAAAATAATGGTGAGTGTGGGGGAAAAAAAGAGGGAGAATTGAGAAGCTGTTTCTAAAATTCATCCGGAAATGCAAAGGGCAAAGAATAGCCCAGGAAATGCCGAAGAAGAAAAAACTGCTGGAGTAATTACACAACTAAGTAGCAAGATCTATTACAAAGCTACGGTAATTAAGTCATAGTTGTGTTGGTACAAACAGCCTAATGTAACAGAATGGAAACTGATCTATTCACATCATTATGTTATTCATGATAAAGATGACACTGCAATACAGAGGAAAAAAGATGCTCTTTTCCATAAATAGTACTAGGTCAATTATATATTCACACTGGGGGAAAAAAATGGGTCTTAACCACTACCTCTCACCATACACAAGAATCAATTCCAGATGAACTGTAGAGCTAAATGTGAAAAGCAAAACAAAAAGCTTAAAAAAAAATAACATATACAAAAACATCTTCGGGACTTGGGAAGTATTTCTCAAATCTCAGAAAGGACTTACTATCAAATGTAAAAATGGATAAAGATGGCTGTATCAGATTATAAAATTTTGCTCTTCTAAAATACCAGTAAGAGAATAGTAAAACCCAGTGTGGGAAGATAGCTGCAATATGCATGTGTGTATGCACATATGTATTCATAACTGCGAAAAGACTGATGTCTAGCTATATGAAATATAGAAAAGGCAGACAATTCCATTTCTTAAAAATACTAATAGAAGACTTAAACAAATTTACAAATTAAAAAATCCAAGTAGACAATAAACATGAAGAAGCTGCTCGCCTTCACTAGTTATGAAAGTTTAAAGTAAAAATGAAATAGGTATGTGCCTGGGTGCCTCAGTCAGTTAAGCATCTGACTTCAGCTCAAGTCATGATCTCATGGCTCATGAGTTTGAGCCCTGCGTTCAGCTCGTGCTGACAGCTCTGGGCCTGGAGTCTGCTTCACATTCTGTGTCTCCTTCTCTCTCTGCTCCTCCCCCACTCATATCCTCTCTCTCTCTCTCAAATAAACATTTAAAAAACTTTAAAAAATAAAGTAACAATGAAATATCACAATGTACTGAGAATTGCTAAAATTTTAAAATACTGACAGTATGTTAGTGAAGACGTGAAGCACTGGAAGTTCTCAAATACTGCCAGTATCATCCATTGGTAAACCAGCTCTGGAAAATGGGAAGTATTTATTAAAGTGAAAAATATACATAATCTATTAACTCTCTCATAAGAATATGGCCAACAAAGAAATATATATGCTCCCCAAAAGATGTGACTAGAATATTACTTTATTTGTAATCACTTAAAACTAGAAACAACTCAAATGTCCATCAATACAACAGGTAAATTACTGTGGTATACTCACACAGTGGGTATCTATACGGTGCAAAAGCAGAACTGATAATGAATAAGCTCAACTACAAGCAACAATAGTATAAATCTCACAAAAATACTTTTGAGTGAAAGAAGCCAGACAAAAAGAGCACAGTATTTCTGACTGTATTTATATCCAAATAGAAAAATAGTCAAAAACAAATTGTGTTTTAACAATAAACTTAATGTTTGTGAAAATTCATTAAGTAGTGTACTTGACACAAGTACACTTTTCTGTATGTATACCATACTTCAACAAATGCTTTAAAAATGTAGTAACAGAAACTAGAAAGCATCATCAACTGCATATCCAATGAATAACTACCATAAATTCTAAAATTGACTATTTTGGAGGTCACCTGGGTGGCTCAGTAGGTTGAGCATCCAACTTTGGCTCAGATCTTCATGATCTCACAGTTTGTGAGTTCAAGCCCAACATCGCGCTCCCTGCTGTCAGTGCAGAGCCCACTTCAGATCTTCTGACCCCTCTCTGTCCCTTCTCTCTCTCTCCAAAATAAACATTAAATTTTTAAAAAAATTGCCTATTTTGGTCCCAATTTTTGGCCAATAAAATGGAAATTAAAAAGGGAAAAAAAGTGTAAGAGGTGGGAAAAAGGCAGAAACATGTAAAGAAAAATAAGAGGAAAGAAATGAGTAAAGAGGAAAATAAAAACTAAGTGGGAGGAAAGGAAAAGTGGGAAGAAAGGACAGAAGCTGAATTAGGCTGAGGACATGAGAAGACAACCATGTTTGACAGAGGGATGCAGCCTTAACATCTGAAATGTTTATTGGCTGTTGACCATTTATAGCTTTTACTAACTATGAGTCTTAATTACTTAGGGGTTCTAAAACTCAATGGTATAAAGAAGAAATCTTCTCTACCACAAAAGCGAACTACAAAGTTAAGTCATTTTAGGGTTCAAGTAAATTAAGTCAATCATTAGAGGTGAGGCAAGTAGTATCAACTCATCACAGAGACCCACAGTTACAAATAAATCAACATTTTAATATAGATGAATCCAAGAACAAGTGCCAAATAGAGTTAACTCTTAAACAATGCCAGAGTTGGGGGCCCCAACCCCTTGTGCAGGGTTGTGCAAATCTGTGTTTAACCTGACTCCCCCAAAACTTACTAATAGCCTATTTTTGACCAGAAGCCTTACCAATAAGTCAATTAACATGTATTTTACATGTTGGACATATTTTACAAGAGTGTATATACTATATTCTTACAATAAAGCAAGCCAGAGAAAAGCACTGTTTTTTAAAAATCACAAAGAAAAGTACTGTTCTTATAAAAAAAAAAAAATCTGTTTAAGTGGACCTGCGCAGTTCACACCCATGTTGTTCAAGGGTCGACTGTAGTCTATACAGGGTTTTTGTCAAGTACAGTCTTTGGAACTGCATTTTCTTTAGTTTTAAGGACTCAAAGTCTTAGAATCAAATTCTTTCTGTCAAGTCACACAGTTTTTCACTTAATTTGGATAACAAACCTGTTTTGGCCTTCTTTTTCTTTTTTTTTGGTTTGGATTTTGTCTCCTCCTGCATGCTGTCTTTTCCATTTTCTTCCACTGAGCTTAGTTTATCATCTTGGTGAGAATCTGAAGTAACTGCTGTAACTGGAGATTCCTTCTTTTGTTCACCTTCAACTGTGTCATCCGAGATGGTCAATGTACTGAAAATACAACCCAAGTACAAGCTGTTACAAACGCATTCTTCTTTGTCTTAATTGTGCAGCAAAATGGGACAGTGAACAGAGTCAAGGATAATCCTAAAATCAATACTATTTCCTGCTAAGGGGATATATATATTTTACTATGCACTAAAATGGTGAACTGTCAAATTAGGTATCAATAGGTAATATTTTATATTTGGTAATGAGTTATATACCCATGAGCCAAATTAAACTTAAGTTCTAAACTCCCGGGGGGGGGGGGTGGGATGAGGGAAAAATGATTTGTATTCTATGAGCAATAGACCTGTTTTGGTTAAGTGTCCGACTTCAGCTCAGGTCATGATCTCATAGTTCATGGGTTCAAGCCCCATGTCGGGCTCTGTGCTGACAGCTAGCTCACAGCCTGGAGCCTCCTTCTGTGTCTCCCTCTCTCTCTGACCCTCCCCTGCTCATGCTGTCTCTCTCTTTCAGAAATAAATAAAACATTAAAAAAATTTTTTAAAGCACCCTAAAATTTTTTTTTAATTTAAGAAAATAAAAGCATCCTCACCCTATTGTCAAGTAAATGATTAATGAATTATTTTTAAATTATTTAAAAACCAAAAAAAAAAAAAGTTCTAAGTTTGTTCTGCTTTCAAGAAGCTTCAAATATTTAATTTTTGACTTCTAGATAATGATTAATGGCTTGTGTTTTCCAGTGGCTGGTGTACCACTACATTTTCAGAAAGCTATTATGAAAATTAAAATCTGCACCAAATGAACTAATAGTAGCAACCTAGAATCATACTGAGCTGTGGAAAGAAACCAGCCTGTTAAAGTTTGTAAGTTATGAAGTAAAAAATCTGCATCTAAATAAAAAACTGACTTCACTATATATAGTTATATTTTTAAAAAACAAGTTGAGAAATAAAAAGATTAGAGAAATACTTCCAAACCTCCAGTCATTCCAGAAAGCCATGCCATTTTTCACATCGCCAAATACATAACAGGACAAAATAGGAAAAAAGCAATGGATGTCACTTCCACACCAAGATCAGGTTTCACAAAGACTATGACTTCTCCCCCTCCCTCGTTCCAAGTAGCTCACATGGAGCAGTCTATGTGGCAAGAAACTGATGTCTCTCACCATAAGTCAGTCAGCACCTGAGATCTGCCAAGCACCACATGAGTAAACTTCAAAACGGATATTCCAAGCCTTACAACAACTATGTCACTTGACAGATGTTCCCCCAGCCAAGCCTTAAGATGAGTGCAGTCCCAGCTGACATCCTAATTGTGGCCTGTGAGAGACCCTGAGTCAGAGGTACCCAGTTAAGACAGGCTCAGATTCTTGATTCGTAGACACTTGAGAAAATAAATGTTGTTTTGCTAAGCTGTAGAGTAGGTTTTTAAAAATTTTTTTAAATGTTTATTTATTATAGAGAGAGAAAGCGCACGCCAGGAGCAGGGGAGGGGCAGAGAGAGACAGGGAGACACAGAATCTGAAACAGGGTCCAGGCTCTGAGCTGTTAGCACAGAGCCCAACGTGGGCTCGAACTCATGAACTGTGAAATCATGACCTGAGCTGACACTTAAGAACAGAACCACCCAGGCACCCTTAGAGTAGCTTTTTAATGCAGCAACATATAATACAGATAGTAACAGATAATTACCACTGGTTGTCTAGCTTTTGGTAAGAGAGGAATTATGTTTAGGTGAGGACATTAAGGCAAACTGTCCCTGAATGCCAGGCAATAATCAAATATAGAATGTTCTCACCTCAAGTTATTTATATAAATGTGGATTATAGAAAATGAAGTTAATTAGTTAAAAGACATGTTTTATCTTGTTTTCCCCAAAGAGAGACATAAAAATACAAGTATGATCACAAAAACTCACATTGTACATGCAAACATATACATGTAAGTATCATGTATAGAAAAACACTAGAATACAAAATTGCTCATAAAGATTACCTTTGGATGGTTGGATTACTTTTACCTTCTTCTTTGTGTCAGTGTGTTCTACAATAAGTAAATGTTATTTGTACAATAAGGAAAAAACACTATATTCATATACCCGAACAGGCATTCATAACTCAAAAATGGGGGAGAAACTGGATTTCTATTATTAAATAAGAAGATGTGAATAAGTAGTTAAGGGTAGAGACTCTAGAACAAGACTGCTAAGGTTTTGGCCAAACTTCTTACTGGTTCTGTGTCTTAACCCTTTCAAGTTTCCTCATGTGCAAAACAGGATGATGGTATTACTATTCCTCATAGGGTTGTTACAAGGAAAAAATGAGTTAATTCTTGTAAAGCACGGACCATATACTAAGGTGCTATGGAAAGGATAACTGTTATTACTGTACTGGCAATGGGTCCACATGAAAGATTAAGAGTTTTCTTCATATAACTGCAGATGTTACTCAAAAACTGAGAATACTAGTGTTTTTTAAAGAGGACCTTTCATATTTATTAATGCAAAGTACCTTGACTCAGCTTTAGATGAGATTGGAACTTTCTTTTTTTTCTTTATTTGTTTTTCACTGTTCAAATTGCCATCATGCAATGAAGTATCTGAAGGAAAGTAAGTCAACTGTTCTTTGAGTTTCTTTCTTATTTTCTTCTTAATCTCCTTTGCCATTTCTTCAGCTACTTGAAGTTGGTATACTTGCATCAGCTCTTGTTCCTCATCTAAATTATCATTTTCTCTTTCTTCATTTGCCTTCTTGCTTTTCTGACAAGAAAAGCTGTTCTGAGCAACACCTGGCTGTGACCTGATTTGTGCCTTCTGATGCATAGAATCCACCTTCTTCCTGAGAGTTCCCAGTTCCATTCCTTGTGTGGTCATCTGAAGTGCTGTTTTTACCTGATTACTCGCTTTTCCTTGCTTGTCTTCCTCTGCACTGACATCATCTGGATTTTCAGGGGTCAACTGGAGATTCCTTAGTTTGTTTTTACTGACTGGCATGATCTTCTCTGGGTTATCAGTGTTATTAGCACTTACATCATTACTTTTAGTTTCTTTAATTTTCTGACGATTCCTTGTAACAGTGTCAAGCTGGGAAAAGAAGACACAATAACAAAGTTTCAGCCAAGTACAGTTCAGTTATATAAACAGAAAGCACAATGATTGTTGTTCAACGTGTAATCTTGGGAAAATTATTTCATTTTTCACTTGAACACACTGATACATTTCTAGACCATCTCATTAGCACTATCCTAGTTTATTCTCTCAGTGTTTGATCAGTAATTTCTGAGAGTAACTTCAGATAAATGAGATAATTAGCAGGGAGAAAAAGTAGTTAATGACTTTTCAGAAGTGAATACACTGCTCAAACCTCGAAAGTTATTTTTCTTTTTGGCAAAACGATGCATATTTTAATTATAAAATATTTGAGAAATTGCTGAAAGAGCCACAGAGTTAAAGCATTTCAGTTCCCCCACAGAAAACACAGGTCATGTATCTTGCTTCATAATTACATTCTAAAGTCAAAAGTCTATAGTTCTAGAATCACCTACAATTGATTCAAATACATCACTGAAAATGCTTCTAAGTATTAAATACTATCAAGTTAAATCAAATGACAGACTAAACACTGACTGAGGAAATTAGCAGAAAAACTCATAGCCCATAGGAAAAGACTTTTGTACAGAGGAGTGTTTCTGGAGACGCTGCATAAGCCCAGATTCAAGTAACACAAGGAGAAGGAGGGGATTAAACCTGAGGATGACCAACTGAGGAGCTGGGAAGGACAACTCTGTCCCCCACCTCCGTTTGAGTTAGGTGGTGATTTTCACCTACAGGAGAAAGCAGGTGAATATGGAGAGGGACATGCAGCATGCTCCAGGTAGCTACAATTCTCTCCACACAAACATGGAACCTTACAATATACAGCCTTTTGTGACTGGTTTCCTTCACTCAGCATAATGCTTTGGAATTCATCCATGTTGTTGCATTTGTAGTAGTTTATTCCTTTAATTGCTAAGCAGTATTTCATCGCATGGATCTATACTATATTTTATTTCTCCATATACTAATTAATGAACATTTGAGCTTTTTCCAGTTTTGCACTGTTACATGTTTTTGTTTCTCTTGCAAAAGCACCCAAGAATTACTGTGCTATAGAGTAAGCAGATGTTTAACTTTTTTTTTTTTTAATGTTTTTGGGGGGTGGGGGCACAGAGAGAGGGAGACATAGAATCTGAAACAGTCTCCAACCTCCAAGCTGTCAGTACACAGCCCGACGTAGGGCTAGAATTAAGAAACCATGAGATCACGATCTGATCCAAAGTCAGAGGCTTAACCAACTGAGCCACCCAGGCACCCCTAGATGTTTAACTTCTTAAATAACTTGCCAAACTGCTTTGCAAAGTGGGTATAACATCTTGTAGTCCCAAATGCCTTAAGAACTTAAGAGTTCCATAATGGCCTTATCAGCATTCACCACTGTCAATTTTAGTTTTTTAGCTATTTGAATATATGTGTAATGGCATTTCATTATTGTTCTACATTTTAAGTTTTTTTTTTCCTTTGTTTGTTTTTGAGAGAGAGTGCACAAGCAGGGGACAGGCAGAGAGGGAGAGACAGACTCCCAAGGAGGCTCTGTGCTGCCAGCACAGAGTGCCCGATCACTATGGTTTTATTTATTTATTATTTTTATTTTTGTTTTTTTTAAATATTTTAATTTATTTCTAGGAGAGAGAGAGAGACACACACACAGAGTGAGCAGGGGAGGGTCAGAGAGAGAGGGAGACACAGACTCTGAAATAGGCTCCAGGCTCTGAGCTGGCAGTCAGCACAGAGCCTGATGCAGGGCTCGAATCCACGAACCGCGAGATCATGACCTAAGCGAAAGTCGGACGCTTAACCGACTAAGCCACCCAGGCGCCCCAATGGTTTTAAATTCCATTTCCCTATTTAGCAATGACTTGAAAATCTTTACATGTGCTTATGTGTTAACTGTATCTCTTCTCTGACTAAGTGTTAAAATATTTTGCCCATTTTCACTGGGTTATTTTCAAATCATTGAGTTCTAAGAGTTTTTGAAATGTTCTACATACAATTTATCACTATGTTGAAATATTCTCAATCTATAGCCTATGTTTTCATTTTCTCAGCACTAATTTGAATTTTCACAAACCCAATTTATCTTTTTTCTTTTATGGCTTGTGCTTTTGTATCCTGAAAAATCTATTCATACCTCAACTTTAAAATGGTTTTATCCTATTTCTTCTGTAAGTTATGTAATTTTAGCTCTTATGCTTTGGTCTTTGCTCCATTTCTATTTAATTTCTGAACATGATATGATCACAGTTTATAATACTGTATATGGAGATCTATTCCAGCACCATTTGTTGAAAAAAATTATCCTTTTTCAACAATGTGGCAATTTTGGCACACCTTGGCAATTTTGTCAAAAATCAATTAACCATATATATTTGGGTCTACTTCTAGACTCGATACTGCTCCACTGAATTATAGGTCTATCTTTATGACAATAATAAGTTGTCCCGGTTACTAGCTTTACAATGCGCTCTGAATCAGATCATCAAATTCTTTCAACTTTGTTCTTCTTTTTCAAAATTGTTTTAGCTATTCTAGGTCACTGCTTAAGTTTACAAGTACATTTTATAATTAATTTTTCTATTCTTAAAAAAAAAACAAACACCTATTGGTATTTTGGTAAAACTGAATTGAATCAACAAATCAATTTTCAGAGAATGGATAATAATGTTCTGTCAATTATTACTTGACAATAATGATTCTTCTGATCTGTGAACAGGAGTATCTATTTATTTGATCTTTGTTTTCAGCACTTTGGGGGTTTTCAGGATACAACAAGCCTTGTACAGTTTTTGATAAATTTATTCTTGATTGCTACATACTTGTGTTGCTACTATAAATAATATTTTTAAATTTTAACTTCAAATTATTCATTACTAGCATAGAAACAGACTGGTTTTTATACTTTGATCTTATATATATATATATATATATATATAATTTTTTTTTAATGTTTATTTATTTTTGAGAGACAGAGATAGAGTGTGAGTGAGAGAGGGGTAGAGAAAGAAGAAAACACAGAATTAGAAGCAGGCTCCGGGCTCTGAGCTGTCAGCACAGATCTGATGTGGGGTTTGAACTCATGAGCTGTGAGATCATGACCTGAGCTAAAGTCAGATGCTTAACCAACTGAGCCACCCAGGCGCCCAACTTTGACCTTATATTCTTATAAACCCACTTAATAGTTCTAGTTAGTAGCACTTTTTGTAAGTTTTTGTCATCTGTAAACAGAGACACTTTTACTCCTTCCTTCAATCTTTATGTCATCTTTTAAAAATAGCATTGTTGTTGGGGCGCCTGGGTGGCTTAGTCGGTTAAGCATCCGACTTTCGCTTAGGTCATGATCTCACAGTTCGTGGGTTCAAGCCCTATGTCGGGCTCTGTGCTGACTGCCAGCTCAGAGCCTGGAGCCTGTTTTAGTCTGTGACTTCCTCTCTCTCTGACCCTCCCCTGCTCACGCTGTCTCTCTCTCTCTCTCCTAGAAATAAATAAAACAAAAATAAATAAATAAATAAATAAAAATAGCATTGTTGCATCGGTCAGGGTCACTAGTACAATCATGAATACTCATGGTGACATATGGTCAAACTTAGGGTCAAAGCATTCAGTTCTCTACTTTTAAGTATGATGTTAGGTATGGGTTTTTATAGATGCCCCTTAACAAGTTAAGGAAATTCTCTATTCTTTTTGTTTAAGAGTTAACAGAATGGGTGATGAATTTCATCAAGTCCTTTTACTGCATTTATTGAGACAATCAAATTATTTTCTATTTAATCTTTTTATGTGGTGAATTATATTGACTGATTTTTCTAATACTGAACTAGTGGTGTATTCTTGAGAGAAACTTTACCTGGTCATGGGGTATTATCCTTTCCACATAACTTAAGATTGGTTTCCTAATATTTTACGAAGTATGTCAGCTCTGTGTTCAAAAGGGATAATGGTGTAGATTTCTTGTAATGTCTTTATGAGGATAATTAATAATTGCTCCCTCCAAAGAGTAGAGAAACAGTTACTCATTTTGTATTGTCTCTAACAGTTTGTACAAAATCATCACTTCTTCCTTAAATGTTTGGTAAAATTTACCAACATGGAGCCCTGAGAAAAACAGGTAATTTTCTTTATAGGCATGTTTTTCACCACAGATTTCATTTTTTAAAGGTATTCAATATACAAGTTATCTATGTCTCTTTGAGTCAGCCTCAGTAGTCTGTGTCCTTGAAGCAATTTATGCATTTCCTCTAAACTGCTAAATTTACTGTCATAAAGTTATCTGAAATAATCATTTATTCTTTTCAGGTCTGTAACATCTGCAGTGAATACCTTCTTATATTCCTAATATTGGCAACCTGTCTCTTTCCTTTTTTTTCTTAATCAGTCTGGTTAGAGGCCGTGCAGTCAGATGCTCAACCAACTGAGCCAGCCAGGAGTCCCTGCAAACTTTTATTTTTAAACTGTATGTCACTGTTTTTGATTTGACAATGTTATAAGCCAAATGACTGTCATTTAGAAAAATCTATTTTAGAGTCTACTGAGTCGCCTGGGTGGCTCAGTTGGTTGAGCGTCCGGCTCTTGATTTCTGCTCAGGTCATGATCCTAGGGTCACAGGATCCAGTCCCACATCAGGCTCCATGATAAGCATGGAGTCCACTTAAGATTCTCTCTCACCCTCTTCCTCTCCCTCCTGTTCACACTCACTCGCACACACACACACTCTCTCTCTCTATAATAAAAAACTTAAAAAATTAAAAATAAAATGAATGTCCAGGAATGTTTATTTGTAGGTCCAGTAGTTCTATATGTCCTCACTACTTATTTCTTTCATTTTAAATGTTTTAGCCATTTCTTCTCATGGAAGAATGCCTCAAATTTAGCTTTAACATCACTAACTACATTTTTCCATGGTGCCAATTCTACTATTTTAGGCTTAAGATATAGTTTTTAAAAAAGCAACTAAGGAAAAAACATGTGAGGTGGTGGTCCCACTTATTCAACTTCTGGTTATATGGCCCTGGCAAACCATTTAACACCTTTGTTAAGTCGTTTTTCTGTTTAGATGTCTATAAAATCTCTCACGTGCAAAGTAAGAGCCCTAATACCTATGTTTCATTATTAACATGAGAATCAGGAACAGCATTTAGAAAATTCTCATCACAGTCCCTAATAGATTGTTGAAAAACAATAAGGTGAATCTGCCATTATTATGAATTATCTTATTATGGACTTTTTCTTGCTTCCTTTTCTTATTTTGGCCAGCTTCCCTTCCCATCTCAGCCTGCTCTGTACATGAGACTCCTTGTTTTTGACGTGAAGAGGTCCCATCTCTTCACACCTTACTGAAGGAGGTCCTATTGGGTTGTGGTTAAAAGAAGAGGTTCTGCAGACTGTTAAGAGTGTGAATTTTGGTTCTACCATTATCTGTGCAACTTTAGGCAAACTATTCAACCTCTCTGTGATCTAATTTCCTCATTTATAAATGCAGATAAACCTCATCATTTTGTTGTTTGTATTAAAAATGAATGGATATGCATAAAATGTTTACAAGTGCTTGAAAAATAAAAAAGCACTGCTATCTAGTAAATAGAAGCAGGTATTCCTACTCTACTCCTAAAGTAAATCACTTCAAAAACATTTTGTTTCCCTCTAAGTCCTCCAGGACTATCCCCTCTTCTTTTGAGCTAAAAAAATCCCTTCCTAAGTATCTTTTCCTAGTACACTCATTTCTGAGAGAGAGAGAGAGAGAGATTAAGAATTTATATGGCCTGCTATGTACTATAAGAGGCTGGGTAGGTCATGTTTAGTCACCTCACACTTGTGTGTTCCCAATATCTAAACTGTACCATAGGAAAATGGATGTACCTTCTGGCCATTTTCTAGTTGTCCACTTAACTGAGCATTCCTGGCCTAAACAGCATTTGGTTCATACTCAACAAAGCACAGTTCTAACAGTGAGAGAAAATATGAGGTTTCACTTTGACTAAGTCCAAAAAATATCTTCAGTTGTTTCCAGGTTTCTCTCTGTTTTCCAGTATACATCGCCTTATGCAAGGGGAGGGCATATCGCAAAAAGCAAAGTTCCATCCTCCACATGCCTCTGTCCCCCACCATACTACATACTGGTACCAGCAGAAGAACCACCTTCTATCTAAGGGCAGCATCCACTATGGGAGACCTAACCTGCCCCATTCTGTCAGCAGTTCTAAATTGGTGTGCAGTACTATGCAGGTCTACTATGAACCCCTTATGTGTGTGCAGCTGATTCTGGCCAATGTCAGTACTTACTTCTGCCTCATTTGAGAATATATACTATTACACGGATGACTACCAGAGAGAATATTAGAATGAAGAGAGCACATGACAAAATTCAGAATAGGGTAAAACTTGCTACAAGCAAAATACAGGCTACATATATAACTCCTAAAACTCTTGCCAAAGAAACACTGTGCACCAATTTACCAGAACATGCATGAAATTATTTGTATGTGTGCGTGTATGTGTACACAACAGACTATGGTCAAGGGGAGTAAAAGGTGCAAATGAAGTAGCTAGACAGGTTTAAAGAGCGACTGGTACATCAATTGTGGATACTATTACAGACTCTTTATAATATCCTGGAATAAGGTTGTAGTCAATTGTTTGTTTACTACTGCTTTGAGTTCTGCATTTTTAATCTCTTCAAAAGTGCTGCCAAAAAAATTCTGTAATTTGAAAGTGTACCACAAGCACAAGAAGATAAGTATTATCTTAAGGTTCCTTTGGTTCCTCTTGCTTCTGCTGGGTAGAATCAGATGAGTAAGTTAAGTCTAGATAAGCCCTGAATAGCTGAAGATAATTACTCCCTAAGTCCTTCACAATTCTGGGTTAAAAATCTTGTTTTTCTTCAAAAATGTGTAATATGTGTGGCCAGCTGAGTGTGCCCATTGTCTCACCACTCTGTCTACGTTATTCTCGTAGGACTGCACTAATAACGGTGGTGCGCCTGGGTGGCTCAGTCAGTTAAGCGTCCAACTTCAGCTCAGATCATGATCTCATGGTTCGTGGGTACAAGCCCCGCATTGGGCTCTGTGCTGAGTCAGAGCCTGAAGCCTGCTTCAGATTCTGTATCTTCCTCTCTCTCTGACCCTCCCCTGCTCACGCTGTCTCTCTCTCTCCCTCAGAAATAAATAAAACATTAAAAAAAATTAAAAAAAAAGAAAGAGTGAACTCAGTACCCCAAGAGAGATGTGGATTTTAATGTAAGCTTTATTTTACCACACTATTGACTAGGACATAGATTTACTGTTCTTAATTTCCACATTCCTCAGAGTTTTAATATGAAAGGTATAATTTCATGCAGAATATGTCATCATTACCAAACAACTGATTACTCACTGCAATTTTTTCTCCAGATTTGGCAGTTTTTTTCTTCAGTTTTTTTCTTTCATGTATGAGATCATGGTGGGTCTTAAGCAATTCCTCAAAGCGAACTCTGGTTTTCAGTTTGGCTTCACTCTCCACTACAAATGATGAAGACTCATATCATTTTCTGAACAATTTTATTATAGCACACATCTGCATTATTATTATCTTAAACAACACAGTCTTGTAAACAGCTGCTTGAGTTCTTCACCTATCTTAGAAGAAGTGACCAGTCCTTCCTTCTTAAAAAACTTTTCTTTTGGCTTTGGTGTCATCACACTCATATCCCTCTCACCTGTTACTCCCTCTAAAAGTTTCCTTTACTCAGTTAACTTTCTAATTATGATGCACAGTAGCACCTACCACTGTTAGCTATGTGGTCTTAACCAAGTTACTTAACTCTAAACTTCATCTTTGTTTTCTGTAAATCAGAATAATCCTATGTCAAAGATCATTTGCATGAAAAATGGTTAACACTTGCCCAGTCAGTTATCAACATTCAACAAACACTAAAAGTTGAAAGCTGTTTCTTCCTTTAAAACATAAGACTGATCATGTTATTCCCTTGCTTTAGAATTCTGTGTGTGAGTCTCTCACTTCACTTAGGACACAATAAGTCCTTAACATGCCCTACAGGGTTCTCACTTCCTGGCCTGTCTCCCTCTATAGCTTCAAATCAAAAGAAACAGCCCCTTAAATGCCTACATTCTCGCCAAACTGCCCTTCTCACTCCTCCACCAGAATAAGCACCTACCCCTGTGAAGTTGCTTCTACCTGGTGCAAACTTCCTCTAACATCTCAGCTACCTGTTCAAATGTCGTCTTTAAAATATACTGTTTCCTGATGACCTTATCTAAATTTCACTGTTCCTAACATAGCAGACTGTTCTTTTCCTTCACAGCACTTAACCCAGCTTGAAATTGTATAATTTGTATATCTAAGCAAGTATATATATTGCCTCTCTCTTACTATAATATGTAGGTTTTTTAAGATATTGATTTATTTTAAGAGAAAGAGAGAAGGAGAGCACACATGGACTAGGGAGGGGCAAGAGAGAGAGGGAGAGAGAAACGAGCAAGCTCCATGTGGTCAGCAGCAGAGCCCAATGCTGTGCCTGACACCGGTCTCTATGTTGGTCCCCCCACTTGGGGTTCAATCTCATGAACCTTGAGATCATGATCTGAGCTGAAATCAAGAGTCGGACACTTAACGGGATGAGCCACCTAGGAACCCCTATACTATGTAGTTCTTAACTACCAATAAGTACTATCAAGAAATCTAGCACTATCAAGAAATCAATAAACATGTTTAGTGCTGAATAAATGCTGAATGAATGAATGATAGTCCCAGAGCAGGTATTAGTAAATTATGGCTTATAGGTCAGTCACCTATTTTTATACATAAAGTTTTATTGAAACATAGCTGGCCACTCTGCCAAGAATTCTTATGGATGCTTTCATGCTTCAGTGGCAGAGGTGAGTAGTTATAGCACAGAATAAACCTAAAATATGTACTAGCTTGCCATTTAGGAAAAAGTTTGCTGATACCCGCTCTAGAGTAAAATGCCCATCTTGATGATAATGAATAAAAACCAACCATATCCTGTAATGATTATTTACCTTGTCCAGGGAAGTCCCAAAATGCCATCCATTGAATACATACTACCCTTAATACGTATTAACGTTAAATAGAAATTGAATACCAAACTATATCTAAATATAATATTTGGTTAATGATATCAACTTTATTCATTAATTGGTTAAAGAATCCCTTTAAGACAGATACCATATGTTTGCACGTATAGGAGGACTAGGAGGAACTTAATGGAGGACCATGGGGGAGAAAAGGAAAAATAGTGGGGGAGAGGGAGGGAGGCAAACCATGAGAGACTCTTGAATGCTGAGAACAAACTGAGGGATGTTGGGGGTGGGGGAGAGGGGAAGGGGGGTGATGGGCATGGAGGAGGGCACTTGTGAGGACGAGCACTAGGTGTTATATGGAAACCAACATGACAATAAACTAAGAGAAAAAAAGAATCCCTTTAAATAATCCCAACTTTTAAATAAATAAATAAATAACATCTATTACATAAATAAAGTTCATAAAAGTCTTACCAGTGGGCATATCTCAGCTTTATGGAGTGCACGGAGTTGTAACGTAAGCCCTGACTCAATCAGGATCCTATCAAAACAAAGAGAATTTACTCGTAATATGGAATTTGCAAATAAAAATCACAAAACAGTCTTCATACAAGATTATGTCATGATTTATCCGCTACCTCATAAGATTTATACCAATAAAACTAAGTTATCTTATTTCAATCTTATGCAAATGACTTAAATACATTCAAATCAATTTAAGGTCTGAAAAAAGGTAAAGAAAACTGGGTCGTATTTGAGTAAAATATATATCTGAAACAAAAAATTTGAAAAGAATCTTGAAAGCAGTAAATACGTACTTGGTTGTTAATGCACTTTCAAAAGTGTTGTAAGCGAAAAAATAAAATTTTCAACGTACTTTTAAGAAACCAACCCCCACCCCAGAACTGACTTTCCCAAGAGCACACACTTTATATTAAAGTATGACTATGGGTACCAATTAATTTAATTAATGAATTTAAACATTTTTGTACCTGTCACTGAAAATGTTGCAACAACAGAGAAGGTTAGGCACAAGCATTCATATCAGTCTACTCAAATAAAAACCTGGGTGTGTATCATTATACATCAAACCAGGGATAAACTCAGTATACATATTCCTGAATTTCCAATTTTACTGAAAGATGGGGGTGTGTGTCCAAAACATATTAATGTCCACATTAGAGCACAATATTCACACATTTTTAAGAATAAAGCTGAAGGCTGTTAAAGAGAGAGAGAGAGAGAGAAAGAAAGAAAGAAAGAAAGAAAGAAAGAAAGAAAGAAAGAAAGAAAGAAAATATAATTTAAATTGGCTCAACAATTACTGGTTGAGGGTCCAGATCCCTGGGGATCCACATTCATGTTCCTCTAATATTAAGGGTAATCTAGATAGAAAAATCTGAAAAGAAATGCTAAAAAGGAAACAATGACTACACACATACACTTAATTATGAGCTTAAATATAACCACTATCTGGTACACAGACAAAATAGACATCAATAAATCCACACAGTAAAGACTCTTACACTTTACTGATGGGAGCCCAGACGTACTCTTTCTACTAGATACAGATCTCATAAGTTTGGTCATCCACTTTCCAATCTACCCCAAATTGGAAAAGAGAAGATGCAATGGAAAGAACATCAGTAACTGAAACCTGACAACATGTAAGTAGAAAAACATAAAATCATAAAACAAAAAGAACTTAATATTTATATATTCCCTGGTCATTCAATACATAGGAAAACAGCTGAACTATATGACTTTGAGTCATTAAGAAAAGGCTTACTTATATTCAGCTTAACCTGTTTTCCCTTAAAAAAGTTATGATATTTTAGACATTTCAGAAAGGTAGAATAAAAACTACTGAAGAGGCAGGACAAAGAGTAAAGGATGATTCTCATGCTTCTGGAAGTAGAATAATTAGGCCAGTAGTATTATTAATTGGAATATAGAACAAGTATAATGGAGAACTTTAAAACCCAAGTTTTAAAGTTTTGGGGATTAGTCTTCCAAACGATTAATTGTGACCTTAGGCATTTGTTTTCTCATCTGTAAAATCAGTCCAACAGGGAACATTCAAAAGGTTTATATAAGGGTTAGAGGATTTAGAACAATGCCTTAAAAAAAAAGCACTAATAAACATCTGTTACGATTGTAAAAGATATTTCTTATGGGGACACTCAAGTGAGCTTAGTGGGGCATGATGAGCTGGGGCACTTAACCAGCTACAAGCACTGGCTCCACTGTCAGATCCCTAGATTCAAATCCCAGTTCTACCATCCAGTAAATTACTCTCTGGACCTCAATTTCCTAATCTTTCAAAAGGGAATAATAATTGTAAATTGTTCATAAGGTTTTTGAAAAAATGGAGTAAGAATATGCATGTAAAATACTTAGCACAATGCCTAGAACATGGCAAGCCCTTTGAAAATGACAGCTATTAGCACTGTATATGTAAGTATGTGTTTGTGTGTATATAATCAGATTGTTTGGTAGGCAATAGAATATAGTAATCCAGCAAGGAGAACTAGGCTGAAGATTTGAGCAAGTTGTGTAAAGTGTTCACTCGATCTGCAATCTGGAAGTCACATGTTTGCAAAACTTTGTGAAGGGGCAGAAATCTGGCAGCCACAGGTGGAGGAATGAATGGAAGGTGAGACCTATAGAAGAAACATGTGGATAATTCTTTATACAGTTCTGTTTCCAACTGTCTTCCCCCACTCCCAAAGGCAGTGACATCAGGCAGTAGCTTCATAGTCTTCATAAAAGACTGTGGAAAGATCTTTTTTTTCTTAAGACTGTTTCCATGCTTCCATCATCCTATCCTTTAAAAAAAATAAATCATTCTCTACGTTGTTAAGTAGAGGAATTTTCTAAAATACAAATGTGATGGTATTATTTCCTCGTTTAAATCTCTTCACTAGATTCCTAGGCTCCTGGGTGGCTCAGCTGGTTGAGCGTCCAACTCTGGCTCAGGTCATGATCTTGCAGTTTACCAGTTGGATCCCCACGTCCGGCTCTGTACTGACAGCTCAGAATCTCGAACCTGCTTCAGATTCTGTGCCTCCCTGGCTCTCTGCCCTTCCCCAGCTAATGCTCTCTCTCTAAAAAATAAATGAACATTAAAAATATTTTTTAATCTCTTCTGTAGATTCTAATCACCCACTGGAAAAAAAAGTAAGTTCTTACCACTGGGGTTCAAAGCTACTTATAAAATGACTCCTTGCCTTTTTTTTTTTAAACCTCCCCCTCTCCAGCCACATTTCCACACACATTCTGAACTCTAGCCATATGCAACTACTTACAGGCCTTCAATCGTGCCAAACTCCTTCTTGCCTTTGTACCATTACATGTACACCTCTCTCTCCTGAGAAATGACCTTCTTTTGTCTAACAAACTCCTAACTATCCTTTAACACTAAACACAAATGATATCCTGGGGGCAGTTAAATACTTCTCTCTGAACCCACAACGCCTTCAGCTTCAGGTCTCCCTCTCTATCTCAGTCCTGTATTTCCACCTTGGTCAAATGTTCTATGACCCAGGAAATTAAAATGACACCTACTTTATTGTAAGGAGAAAAGGAAATAGTGAAAAGCAAAGTGATCAGCACAGTGGCTGACACACTGTAGGTGCTCAATAAAATTATGTCTATTATTACAGTACTAAAAATAAAGGTGCCTCAAGTGAATTACAAGTTCACATTATTTACTAGTACTTAGTAGTTCAATGCATAGTTGAATAAACACTAGTATTACTTAATATAGCATATACATTACAGAAATAGTTACCTCCAAACAATGTGTTTGAATTAATGACTAATATTTGATTAGTAACATCGCTGACAAAAACGAAGGTCAAATTTAACATCCCTGAACCTCACATATACCATTATTTTAATGCTTCTCCCTCACAAATGCTTTTATAGGAGCTGCTAAGAAATACTAAAGAAAATTAACTGCACTCTGTTTCATCTCATATTTCTTTTTCCCTAAACATCTGATTATTGGCCAATACATGTCTAAAGACCATGGGGAGAATCAGTAGAGACTTGGATAATTCACCCTTTACCTGAATTTTATAGCACAGGAAAAAAAGAAACCCCCAAAAACCTATTTACATAATTTAACTAATAAATGAAAATAGCTTTCATAAATAAACAAGATTCCAAGTACGGTTTTAAAAAACGTTTTGTATTTGGATTTTTCAGATATTTGAAAAAATTTTCCCAGAGTTCTCACAACAAGCAATCTTCCTCCTGAAAGTCCAAGCAAGTAACTGTAATAGTTAATGCAACAGGTGAGAATACAGTCAGCATCCCTTTCTAAAAACGTGAAAGCCATACACTCCAGTTGAGTAGAGGTTCTCACAGTAACGCCGAAACGTAGCACAACCATTGGTAGTGATTCTAAAGGGTGTACTTTTCTTTCGTATACATATCAAAACGACTCTTTTCTTATAAACATAACACACTGATCACATTTGCTCAGATGTAATAAAGTAGGCTTTTCACCGGTTCGAGATTCAGCACCAAGCTGACACCCTAAAAGGAAACAGACACCCTTAAAGGAAATAAACATCCTTCGTGCGCATCTGATTTAAATGCTTTCAAGCCAGAAACCGGAGTAGGAAAAGCAAAGATTGCATTCCCTCCACGCTAGATCAGGACCACCACACGCCGGGGACGTGAGCCCAGGGAAGGGAACGGGAAGTACTTAGAGGTATTCATCAGAAACTACATCCCAGGGCTCCGCGGCACTTGGCGGGTCAGCCTGCGGTGGCGCAGCGCCGCCCCCGCGCCCACGGCCTTCAGCCGTCCCCCACGTCGCGGCCCCGGGAGAAGGCCGAGGCAGGCCCAGCGCCCGGCCCGGGCTCCCGCCACCAGCAGGCCTGCAGCGTACTCACAGCGAACAGAGCTCAGAGCGGCCGACAGCCCGTTCTGCCGGGGTGGACACTGAGCCTGCGAGAAGCGACTTAACGCGCCGGGCGGGGCGGGGCGGCCACGGGACGCCCGCGCAGCCACCCCAGCCGCCAGCCACTCCGGCTCGGGGGGCCGACCAGGTGCCGCAGTGCGGGCAGCGCGCCGCCTGCTGACGTCAGCGCCTGCCTACGCTGCTGTTCCCACGGCAACCGATGCGGCCTCAGCTCCCGGCCTGGACCGGGGCCCAACTTAGACTCCGTCCGCGGCCCCGCCCCCGCGCCGCCTACTCCTGGGCCCCGTGCTGCTGCCGTGCGGCGCCAGTGCAGGTGGTGCGCGCGCGCCGGCCCGCGGGCCTTCAGACTACGGCCGGGCACGCGCTCCGGGGGTCGCGCGCCGGACTCCTCGTGCCCGTGCGGAAGGCTCGAGGCCGCAGCCCTCCGAAGAGAAAGAAATGTCTGGCCCCGAAGCGCTAAGGGGCCCAGCGAAGGGTCTGAACCCTTCTGGCCGTCACGCCTGAAAAAGCGTTTTGTCCCTCAAAACTGTAGCCGTCGCTGGAGAAGAACGAGAGGGGGCAGGGGTACACAGGGAGGCAGTCGTGGAGCCCTCCAAGGCCGAGAAGCATGAATGAAGCAAAGCAACCGGCACGTCACCGCCCTTGCGATCCCGCCCACAAAATGAAACACCCTTTTAAGCGTGGAGAATAGAATTGTGCTACAGACCAGATAGTAAGAAAAAATATTTCCATGATTCGCCTGGCGCTGAGCTATGCTGCCACGTGTTTAAAGCAGAACAAAAAGAAAACCCTCATTTTCCACACCAAACGCCCCCTCCCACTTTCTAATTTCTGCCACAGGCGCCATTTTTAGCTCAGTCACCAGGGATGGAAAAATACTAATCGGGCCCCTCCCCATCTCTTGAATTTTTTGCAGTTGTAGTCATGCACTATACCATAACCTGTTGCTTAGTTTGTAAAGTGAGAGTGTTATGTATATTTCTTCGGAAACCAGCTTTTTCATTTATATTAGCATCACCACACTTTACAAAGCATATCTCATTTGTTTCTTCTTCGAAATCCTGTGAAACGGCAATGAGAAAAATTACCCATCTGGGGCGTCTCAAAATGAACTGTTCAACTTTCTACCTAAAACCTATTACCCTTTCTGGATTTCTACCTCGATTTAAACCACCACCATCCTTCCAGGGTTCTAAATACCTGTAGAACATCCTAAATGCCTCTTACACTAAATTATGTCCACGCTGCGTTTTTTAACAGCCCCAGTGTATAGCCTATCCATCTTGACTCCCTCTGCTTCCTGCCAACCTTCATCACTTCCCACTGAGATTATTGTGGGATGGGCCCTTTACCAGTCCCCTGACTCCAGTTTTGATTCCAGAATGCCATCCCCCATACTGCTACCAGAATGACCTCACCAAAACTATAAATCTGATAATGCCACTGTCCTGAAAATTCTTCAAGGATTATCTGTAGGAGAAAATATAGTCACTTTACCTAAACTATAAGACTCTCCATATGCCTGACTCGTTTCTTCTCTCATTGCCTCCTTTCAATGTTATGCTTCAGCAATACTGAATTCATGTGTACCATGCAAAAAAAATCCATACTCTCTCATATCCCCATTCTTGCACATATTGTCTTCTCTCCCTGGAAAATCTCTTTTTGTAAACTTCTACTCCCCTGTGTCTCACCCCAAATGGTGTCCATACTTTGAATCCATTTAGCTATTTTTCCTCTCGTTCCCGCTGCTGAAGAGATGTAAAGAGCAATGATACCTTAGAAGCAATGAGCACATAGTGCCTAGATATTGGTTTCTAAATACCATTCTCTATTTAAAGGAACTAGAGCCTCTTGGGGAAATGGCTTATTCAGAACAGGAGCAGGGGAAGTACAACAGGAGCCTGGAGAATCTTTTTATACCAGAAATTAAAGAGTTTTTTTTTTTTTTTTACAGAATGATGGAACATATAAAAGGGACTCAGAAACCAGTCTGAAGGAATCCCCCATTAGCCATATGTGGGGCAATCTGAGCACCACTTTAATAATATTGATAGATTATGATCTGCTGAATAAAATAGGAATACTTGAGTCTATACTGAAATAAATACGTGAATAGTTTTTTAAACGGGCATAAAAAAATGGCCTTCCTTATGTTAGATTACCAACTAATAAATGTAGGAGGAGTGATGTACGTAGAAATATCACCATTTGGCAACCATTATAGTAAAAACTGATTCAGACAGGCATCATCAATGTATACTAATACTAGAGGGTGAGAATTTTAAGAAGAATATTATAGTCTCAAAGTATCTCCTGGCCAAATACTAATTACAGAGGAAAAAAATAGGAATTTGACAGTACAGAAATCCAGCACTGGTGACCAAAGTTACCATCCCCAGTAATAGGACAAATCAGCATTGTATGCCACCTGGTAAAGACATTTAGAACATACTTTTGTGATATTCCTGCCAAAAAAAGCACAACCTGAATCTAATCATGAAGAAAGATCAGACAACCACAAATTGAGGAACATTTTACAAAATCATAGACCTTTACTATTCAAACATTTGTCAACGTTACGAAAGACGAACAGCTAATAAACTTTTTCATATTGTAGGAAACTAAAGAGACAGGACAACTAAATGGAACATATGACTGTATCAGCTCCTTTTCCAGTAAAGGATATTGGGACAATTGACAAAATTTGAATGGGGTCTGTGGACTAGATAGTATTTTAACAATATTAATTTCCTAATTTTGATGACTATAGTCTGGTAATATCGGATATACTTTGTTTCACTGAATTATTTAAAAATAATGAAGCTTCATACCTGTAACTTACCCAACTGCTTCAGAAAAAAGTATATATAAATAATATAAGTAAGTAAAATATGAATATGTATAGAGACAGGGAAGGATAAAGCAAATGTAATATGTCAACAATTAGAGGATTTGAGCAAAGGTAGAAGTCCTTTGTACTATTCTTGCAATATTTTCTGCAAGCTTAAAAGTATTTTAAAAGAATAAAAAATGTTTTAAAAGTACTGAAGTTTCTGGCTTAGGTAACTGGATGAAAAATAGCTAATTAATTAACAGGGGAAAGGTAGGAAGAACAGGTATAAAGGAAAAGGTAGTTTCAGTGGGATATATCCAGTAGGCAACTGAACATATAGTAATATAAAAATGAGCCCCATTCAAACTGGAGAAAGCAGATATGCTGCTTCCCCCCTCGTTAGCTCTGAGTACAAGAGTGAGTACCTACTGGTACTAGGCAAGGCAAGCAATTAAGGGTAGTAGTGCTAATAATAAAATTGGCCAACTATGCATGAAATAGATTTAGGGTATTCAAAACAGTTAATGAATATAAAATAGTGAATTTATTGAATAAGACATAAATATGGTTGATAGACAAAATACTTATCCCCTTTACAAAATGTACATTAACCAATCAAAAGAAATGTTAGCTTTACTTCTTGTACTGCATTGCTAGGTCTGCCATACAAAGTACCATAGACTGGTTGGCCTACACAACAGAAGTTTATTTTCTCACAATTCTGGAGACTAGAAGTCCAAGATCAAGATGTTGGCAGGGTTAGATTCTTCAGAAGTCTCTCTCCTGCCTTGTCCTGTGTCTTTGCATAGTCTTCCCTCTATACCTGACTCCTAATCTTCTCTTCTTAGAAGGATATCAGTTATATTGGATTAGGGCCCACCCTAATGACCTAATTTCAATGTAATTACCTCTTTAAAAATCTTATGTCCAAATATAGTGACATTCTGAAGTGCTAGGGTTTAGGATTTCAACAGATCTATTTTGGGAGCCAAAATTCAGCCTATAAATGTGTTGTGCTAGAAGTGCATCAGAATGCAAAGATGAGACCCATTTGGATTCTCATTCAGAACAAACTGACTGTATAAAGATGTTTCTGACAATCAGATTTTTCAGCATGGGCTAAGTTGGAGATGATATTAAGGAATTTTTATGTCTTTATAAAGGAAATAACGACATTGTAATTATGTGAGAACAAGCTTTTCAGAACTCAATAGAACAGAATGACAAGATGTCTGAAATTTTCTTTAAAATATTCCAGAAAAAAACAACAAACAGGTTAGGGAAAGATAACACATATATACTTAAATTCTGATGGTCATTAAGATGGCTGATAGGTACCTGGTATTTTATTATACTTTTTCTTTGTGTGTTTGGAAATTTTTGTAATAAGCAGGCAAAATAAAAGTAGGAAAATTCATAGAAAATTTGAAAGACATAAGGAAAATAAGAAAAGGATATTCAGTACTATTTCCTAAAGAGAATCCCAATTAGCTTTTTAAAGCAATTTTGTTTTTAGTAGGCTTTCCCTGCATATTTTCATTTTGGTCATTGTATATAAATGCTTATTTCTGCTTTTTGAATTAACAATATGTTATACTTTCATTTCCATAGTATTTTATATGCCATACAAACTTCATTAAAAATTTTAAGCTTGTTAATAATGTTTATATGTGCTCAAAGTAAAATCTTACAGACATTTATAATGTAGAAACTGAAACCCTGTCATATGTTAAGCACTGGTAATAGTCTTTTATACATTAATCTTTCCTTCATGTATATACTAAATATACTAAATTAGAAAACAACTTCATACTACCAACTTTGTCCTGTTGGCTTGTTCAGTCTTTATCATGTATCACCATCCTAGAAGGTTTTTTTAATGTCAGTAACATGCATCTGTCTCATTCATTTTAATGGCTTTATACTATATCATTTTTATTCCAGGGTTTTTTCTTATCAATTACAATAAGAATGCCAAATATAATTTTTTTTAAATTAAGAGAGCTTTCATAAGTCTCTCATATTATCACTAAATTTATTCCCTTGTATTTTATATGCTTTTGGTATTATTTTGAATTCATTAACTTCTCTCACTACATTTGCTAACTGGTGATTGCACATTTTCCTACATTTACTCCTTCTGGGTCTCTTTTGGTAGTTTTTGTTTATTTCCTTAACCTTTTGGTATTGGAATATCCCAGAGCTAACCTCTTGAAACTTTTTGCTATCCACATGTACTCACTTGGTGATCTCTTCAGTCTCTATAGTCCCCT